TGCATGTACACAGGCAAAGAGTGGGATGTGTGTGTGTGTGTTTATGAACTCAATGACCGCTCAGTTGGAGCTTAATACAAATCTGTATGTTCATCCCATATGCAAATCCAACTTACACATTAATTTTAGATTAAGATTTCTTCTGGGTTTGTGTGCCCGTCTTCGAATGCTTTGTCTGCCTGTCTGCCAGCAGGGGGCATTTTTTAAGTCTTACTGCAAAGACCTGCACTGAAAACAGGCGCTGGCTATGTCAGGAGGGTTGACAGAAAAAGCTCCTCAATCATGAAAGAAGTAACGCTACGAGAATCGATGAATACATGTTAAAGAATGTAACTGTTACTAAACCTTTCTCCTTCTGCAGGATGTGATCCGGACTATTTGGTGCAGACGTGTCAAGACGCGAGGTTCATTTCGGGGCTTCATCCGCATCGATAAAAAACGACGGTAACCACCCAATACGACGCAGGACCTGTCTGATTTTAGAGTCCAAGTCTGTTTGAAATGATATGTTTATCAAGATAATAGTTTATATATGAAGCTTTAATGTGGACATTTACTCTCACTCCTAACTCGCTTATTTTACAGGTCTACCTGACATACGTCACAGAAAGATGTTGTGTAGAATGTCATGGATTGCGGTAATATTTAACATATTTTTGAGTATTTAAATGTGGAAGAGTCTGACTAAGCAGCCTCCCATCAGATGAGCAGTGTCTATCCGTGTGCTTCATTGTCCCTGAGACCCTTAACCTGTGATTATATAAAGGTCACAGGTGAGGTCCTTGGGAACAAAGTCGTATGCAGCTGCATCTAGAGGCTACAACAGGTTCTGCGATCAAACAAAAAGAAGCCAAATCAATCAATCACGACACACATTTTCTCTCCTTTTTTAAAACAATAAGTAAATCACATTACTGTGTAAGTAAGTCACAAGTCAAAGTGGACTAGAAGGTGTTTTTTGGACTGCATGAACTCATCTGCAGAAAATTCCCCCAAACTTTCCGGACCTGACAGGAAGCCAAGGAAAGAAAAGAGGCCTTGCTTCTGTAGAGGGGGCAGAGCCTTTTGGACGGCTTTGTGTGCTAAACATTTAACACAGTTCAATAAAAAGACATCCAAGGTTCATGACCCCGACATATGATTCAAATGGGATTTTTAAATCAGTTCACAGACACTGAAAGTTACAGGACCCAAGTGACATGAAACACACCTTGATGCCTCTTCACGTGCGTAAATGTGACTAACAGCAACTGAAAAAGATTTGATTAGCCTTGATTAAATATTTATTTTTCATTGGGCTGCATCTTCTTTTCTGAACTTATAAAATAATTATGAATAAAATGTCAAAAGATAAAATAGTCCTGTTATTTTGTTCCACTGACAACCCTTATACAAAAACACATTTTTTTGTGATATATGATTAAAAAAAGAAAAGCACCAATCTATACAATGTAGATGCTGAAAACACATCATATTTGAAAATAAACGTATTAATCGTCGGAAAAAATGCTGGTTGTTGATCTGTGTTCATAAATTGTTTTCATTTGGATGAATAATGTACGTGTTGTTCTGGACGGACCCAAAATATGACAATAAAATGTCAAAATGGTGAAAAAACGGTTGTGTTTCTTTGGGTATATTCTATTTAGATGTAGTTACTTACAAGGACATCTTTCATTAGAGTGTGATTTTTTATTTTATGAGAAGTGAATATTTCTGTGCACCAACTCTGAGACATTGATTTTAATGTGAGATCAATGTGGTAAAGATCAACACAATAATAAACATGGAACTTCTTCACTATTGAGTTGTACTTTTGAGCAGAGCTTGTTTCAGGTGCATTAAAAGCATGACATGGTGATTCTCTGTCTGACTCTCGATGTGTCTGTCGCTCGGCCAGGGCGTCTCAGTGCTCCCTGGCTCTCGGCCGCGCTGTGTGTTTGTGCATCCCAGGACAGTTGACATTGATTGTGCAGGAGACAGACTGAGACACATTAGTACCCAGCTCGCTCCTGCCGCTGAAAAACACATTAACTGGCTGCATTGGGAGCCCTGTCTGGTAACCATGGCAAAGCACACAGAGAGAGGGGGTGGGGTGGGGGGGTTTAGACGGGGCAGTGGGTTCAGCAAGCAGTCTCTCGGGTTGTCTTTCTCAAACGCTCCTTTCCTTTCCTCCGGCCATGTCTGTCATTCTCTTTCAGTCTCTCTCTCTTTGAATTGACAGCCTCTCTCTCTCTCTGTCTTAGACACTTATAAATGCAATTTGCATTTGTCTTTTTCTTCCCTTGCATTCTTCTTATTGATCCTGACCTCAGCAATCTAACCTTACCTCTTACTCCACCCCCTTATCCAACTATCCTGTGCAACATATTCTGCCTCTGCCTTTATTTCTTGCACGTCTTTTCTTCCTTGTCAATAAGGAATTCCTCTGCAGAGCCAAAACCAGGCAAAAAATGTGTTAATAAATCAGCTGTTACTGATGAAGTAGGACAGATCAGCTTTTTTAATATTATATTGCTCAAAGTTAACATTTCTTACAACCAGTCACACCCTTGTAGGGCTCATGTTTTGTGAAAACTTAGATTATTCTACCAAGCAGGTTTTGTACATTTGTGGATGGAAATAGCTTCTGCTCTTACTTGGACTTTGTGCTAATCTACAAATCAAAGATTCATGTAGTTCAAGCATTCTCATGTGAAAGGTCTCTTGATACTTCTTGTTTTGCTTTTGAAATATAAAATAAACTACTAGAGCTACATCACTGTTCCTAAAATGAAGTCACTGTGGCCTCTAGTGGAAATAACCATGTTGAACAGTGTATCAGTAGAAGAAGCAGAGAATACAGGACCAAAGAGACTCAATATTGTTATTTATTAAGTCTATTGGAGAGTTGGGCATTATTACCTGACTTATGAACCAAACTTGTTTATGCTTATTTTTTTCTTCAATAAAAACCATGGTTTAGTTAATCATTTATCAACTATGATATCAACTATACTTTGGCTGAAGTTAATAAACGCACAATCGACATATTAACATTTGATCTATGTCTATAATAATAATTAGAATATTGTATTTATAAAGCGCTTTCATTCACAGTGCTGTGTCGTGATGTGTCGGTCATGAACGATTCGTTCAAAATGAACGAATCATCTGGGTGAACAAACTGAACTGAATCACTTACTGAAAAGAGTCGTTCATTTCTCAACTTTAATTGCGCTCTCCTCTCTCCCGTCTCATCTCTCTCTCACTAGACCGTAAGAGTCTCTCAAAGCCCGCCCTCCCTCTCCCTTCATGTCAGTGATACATACTGACTGAACCAACAGGACGGAGTCGGTCGGGAGCTCTGTGTCACTAAAGCCCGCCCCTACTTCTCCCTCTCATGTCTCCAAAATTGAAGAAGTAGAAAATATATTATTTAACATTTAGGTGTCGCGAAAATGTATGTGCTTTTTATAGCTGCTGTCAGTTTACAAACGGCTGACTGTTTTAACATCTACTAACGATCATGTTTCAGTCAGTACAGTGTGTGTGTGTGTGTGTGTGTGTGTGCGTGTGACTGAGGCTGGTGACTCGCAGTCTCGCTCGTTCACGTTCAGTGAAGGAACTGAACGAGAGCTCCGACGTGAATCACTGAACGAACTGAGAGGAAGAGCTCCGCATCCGAGTCACTCTCTTCCTCTTCTTGTACTGAACGTACTGAACAGAACGGTCTGAGAAAATAAACGTGATTGTTTTAGCAGCTTTCAGTTTGCAAACTGGAGCTTTATCCAACTAAATTCTCAGCTCATTGGCTTATTATTCACCACCGGCTGTTCTCAGTACGATTGTGAGCAGAACTAAACGTTCGGCCGTGTTTCAGCTTATTAAATTCTGATTCACAGACAGAGCTGCAGAGAAGTACTGAACGATTCAGTGAACGAATCTTTTGAACGAATCACTTTACTGAACTGATTCTACTGATTCAGTACACTGAAAAGAACTGCTTTTCACATCACTAGTGCTGTGCATGGTTCATAAAAAAGACAATTTAATAATAACTTCACTACACTTTTATTTAAAAAATAAAAATAAAAAAGGACGCAAAATCTTACTAAATATCTTAAGTAACTTTTACAACACCAGGGGTAAAATGTAATACAATATCAGAGTTTGATTAAATGGACATTTAAAAATAGGATTACCATCCAGACCGCCATAAATAGTGAAAACAAAGTTTATGTCTCAATGAACAGAGACAACATGTGTAAATTAATATCTATGTACTCTGGTCCGACAGTTGTGTTGAGCCTGCCAAATATACTAGACGTGTTTTTGTAGGCCAACCCGGAAATAGCATTCTCCTATGTGATTTTGGATCACTGCAGAAAATAATCTCTGTGGTAAACGCACGTTTCTGAAGCATAGGCGTTTTGTTCAGCAGGATAATCTTCACAGATGAACACCATTTTTATGATGTTTGAAGAGTTAATGCGGCCGACAGAAGTAAAAAGCTAACGTTATGCTACAAGCTAACTACACCACGGATTGTGACGTCACTACCGTAATGCTTCAGACGATCTCCGATAAACTGACGTAGCTTAATAAATAGTTTACTAACATAATATTCACCTTAACCTAAAGATTCAACCTACAGGAGACATCTCTGACTAGTGAGAGAGTTCCCGCCCTCTGTGTCCGGCCTGATGACGTTTAATGTCCCCGACAACCACTGTAGTCACATTTAGCCACTTGTTAGCAACCGCCTTTTTAAAGACGCCTAAAAACTTCAAAATTCACAAGTGTGGGTATTACTTAACGTAGTTTATGTGGTCTAACAAAACACCAACATGTCTTCTGCTTGTGTTAACCACAGATTCATTCAAAGTCCCTTCTGCTTCTTCTCTGGGATATTCAAAATCCACATTGAGTTTCGCGGTCAAACGCTAACTTACTTCCGGGTTTTAGGACCATTACCTGTGGTGCGCGTAGCAGGCGGAACCTATAAATGTAGGCAGCAGTTTCTTTCAGAGCCTGCTGAATGTCACGGACACCCGGAAGTGGTCGAAATTTAAACCGCCATCACAGCAACAATAAGAGGGCATTTTCTCACAGCGACGTGATTTTTGATCAACAATATGCAAGCATCCGGGTAACATCGCCCTAAAGGCTTCTTTGAGGTAAACAGAGAAATGTGTTCATTGCAGTATTTACTTGCTCCTTGCCGATAGATTCTCTTTTCAGCGCCAATTGATTTCGGGGCTGGCTATTACCTGGAAAACAACATGGTTCATAGTCAGTCAATTTTTTAGGCATTTTATATTATTTTATTGTTACTAAAAAATATGTGTTTTAATTTATTGCATGTGTGTGTCAAAATATGCTGCTAAGGGATTTTTTTAAAATATCATTTGTTTGCATCAATGTTAATCGGACACATTGTGTTGTTCATCCAACTCAGCAAAATTTAAATCCAGAAAATAGACAAAGCCATGCAATACCTTAATTATAATAAACACGTAAAAAACAATGAAAATAATCAAATTATGACCAATATTGTATCAAGAAATGTTTTTGTAAATGCTTAAGGAATGAATGCTCAGATATTTAACAAAGTTTAAAACGGTTTTATTGCTTTTTAAGATTGTTTGGTCATTAATCAGATGATGTAACTGTAAACACATTTAATTTAGACATGCATAATGATCACATAATGTCCGGACAATAAACATTTGTTATAATTATAAATGCAAGACATTAAGTTTCTTTTACACATGGCTATTTAGATGTATTTACGTATTTGAGATGCCATTTTTCTTTAAATTATATGATTTAGTGACTGGTTATTAATATCCTTTTTTTTTTTGTTAAAAAGAGGACTTAAACTAACAGTGCAATTAGTTATCATTAAATCTTTAAAAAAAACACTCTTGGATTTAATTTTGGGCATTTGTGCCAATTTAAGAGGCTGTATAGAGAAGGAATTTTAGAGCGTGATAGAGTGGGAAAGGAGCATGAAGTAGCCACTAGGCCAGCAGCGCCTCAATCTTTTTTATAATACATTTTTAGAAGCTCACACAAGACATCACCAACAAATGTGTTTTGAACTGTTAATTACATCGTTGCAGATTAATCTACACTAACTAAATTGTCTTTTTTTTAATTTATTTTTTTTTACATTTTTTAGCTCTCTTTTAAACTGTCACTTTGGAAAACATAAATTTTGCTCCTCTGCTTATTTCACAGAAGCAGTCAAATTGGGTACAGTATGGAAGAAGAAATAATCAGTGACGTGATGGAAAAAGGAGATGCTGGGAGCAACGAGGAAGAGTCTGGAGTGGGCGAATCTGGATTGAAGGAGGCTGACGCAGAGGGGTTTAAAGCGGAGGTGCCTGAAGTGGAGGAGGCCGACGCAGGGGATCCTGAGACTAAAGAGGCTGAGACTGAGGAGCCTAAACCTGAGGACGCCGAAGTGGAGGAGGCTGACGTGGAGGAGCCTGAAGCAGGGGATCCTGAGACTAAAGAGGCTGAGACTGAGGAGCCTGAAGTGGAAGAGGCCGGAGAAGAATTGTCAAACACGCGCCCTGCTAAAAGAGGGAAGGGGAAGTCACAGGGGTCAAAGAAGCTGAAGGTTAGTGTTACAGATGTTAACCTAACAAACCTGGTGTCAGGCATTTCCAATGGTGGGTCCCCACAGCCAAAGAGGGGTAGAGGACGCCCAAGAATCTCAGACACGAAACAAACAGAGCTGCAAGAATCAGAAGCTGACCAGACTGATGATCCTGTTAGAACTCCTAAGAGTCCAGAGAAAGGGTCCACAAATACGACGAGTAATGGGGACGGTGCTGTCGCAGACAGTTCCCCTAAGAAAAGAGGCAGGCCAAAAAAGGCTGTTAGCACTGAGACCACTGCTGGTGAAGTCTTACCCAATGGTGGCTCTAATGTGCCAAAAAAAGGAAGGGGTCGTCCTAAAGGAACCTTTAAGCGCAAATCAGAAAGTTCAATGGAATATGAAAAGAATGAAGGGAGTTCTGAAGAACCCAGAAAAAGGGGACGACCAAAAGGCTCTACTAGCAAGAAGCCCAGACTCGAGGAAGAGGCTGAAGGAGGTGTGGAGGAGGGGAATGACAGCGATTGTTCAACAAAGGGATTGTCTAATGGCAGCTTAAACACACCTACCAGAGGGAGGGGAAGGCCAAGAAAAATAGAAGTTCCGGAAAGTGTCAATCAACCGGTCAAGAGGGGAAGGGGTCGACCTCTAGGCACTTTAAACAAGAAAAAGCATGGTAAGGTGGGCCGGCCTCCAAAACTTCAACTCCTTACTCCTTCACGCAAACCGAAACGGGGTAGACCTAGAAACGGACCAGTGAAAAGAGGACGGCCCAGGAAGTACCCTACACCGTCACCCGAAGAGCTGAAAAAGCCAAAAGTGTGGAAGGCGCTGGGAAGGCCGAGGAAATACCCACGTGAAGATCCTCCTGAAGAGTCTCCACTTAAAATGAGCCCTAAAAAAAGCCGTGGTCGGCCTCGCAAGTCAGAGTCAAAGAAAGGTGCCCATTTTCGCATGAAATCTCCTGCAACGCCATCAACGCCTCACACCCCCAAAGACGAGACTCCAAGAAAAAGGGGCCGCCCACCGAGCAGTGCGAAGAGTGAAGCGGGGACCCCAAAGAAAAGGGGCCGGCCTAAAACGGTGCTTGACAGCGAACTCCCAAACTTATTGATAGAGACTGATTCAACTGCTGTTGATGAAAAGGAGATGAATGAAAACCTGGGGATGTCGCCCATCGGGGACTCAGAAAGTGAAGTTGTAATCCCGAAGAAAAGGGGACGCCCTAAAGGTGCAATCAAGACAAATAAAACTATAAATGACACAGCGCTTGACAGTGAACTCCCAAAGTTATCGATGGAAACGACTGATTCAACTGCTGTTGAGGAAAAGGAGATGTTGCCCATCGGGGACTCGAGCAACACAGAAAGTGAAGTTGTAACCCTGAAGAAAAGGGGACGCCCTAAAGGTCCAGCCAAAAAAAATAAATTCAGGGGTAAAACAAAGCTCGACAGTGAACCCCCGATCGTTTCAGTAGATACAACTGATTCAGCTGCTGTCGAGGAACAGGAGGTGGAGTCGTCCACAGAGGGCAACATTGACCCTCCTACCACGCCGTCAACGCCCGGAAAACCCAATGACGAAACGGCAAGGAAAAGGGGCCGCCCCCCGAGCAGTGTAAAAAGGCAACTCACTGCCGGGAAGAAAAGGGGGCGTCCGAAAATCGGAAGTGAAATGCAGCTTGACCCCCATTCAGCAGGCGACGCATCTGCTGCTGGAGAAAACGAGGACGGTGCTGAAGAAATGCTCGTTGACCAGAACACGGGTTTGGAAGTTAGTAACCAGTCCTCATGACCTCCTTTTCCGACCAAAACAGCTGGTGTAGTAGTTGCTGTCTAAAACACAATCCTGTCAGTGAGAATTCATTCTTAACATTTGTCGGTCGGGTAGGCTAGATATCCTGTAGCTCTCCTGTTTTCCTGACTAACTTGTTCATGTTGTTTTATTGTTCTAGATATTGTTTAAGTTCTTAAACTACGTCATCTGAGTAAGCAGTAATACTTATACTCTTTTACTAGAACTAGCTTGTATGGTTTATTATAATAGGCTGATTGTTCCCATTTTTATTTGGCTTTCAGGTGTAGTGTTTGTCCGTTGAACTGTAAACGTGAAATGTGAGCTGGAGAATGACTCGGAGAGGGAGGAAAAAAATCACAGCAGTGAAACTATAAAGAGCTGAAGTCCTAACATCACTTTGGACTAGTGTCTGTCCCACCAGCCTCTGACACTTAAATTTATCATTTCGCATTTCCTAAGTCTAATTTTCTGAAGACCACCTTGGTTCCCTGACACTACTTTCATATAGTAGGATTAACTGGTATATGCTGGATGTGGAGTTTCATTGAATCAGTTCGCTCATAGTTTTGCTTAGCTGTTTTGCTTTTCCCCTTGCATCAAATCTGCAAACAGAACCTTGAAGTGATTCAAACTGCTTCATTGAAATGTACAACTAGCAGAAAAATACTTAAAATATGTTTTCCCCCTAAGCCAATCATCAAGAAACTACTGGACACATCCTGTGGTGTGCTGAGATGAAATGGAGTTGTCAGTTCATATTTCAATAATTAAAAAAATAAATTGGTGTCAAAAGCTAATCAAGTTAAATATTCAAAAAAATAATTACAAGACCAGTTAAAATTAAGAATCCCAATGCGGTTGTCTCTTCTGTGAAAGATGATTCGTTTTAATAGTTTGTGTAGCTTTACTATTATCACCTGAGGAGTGTCAAACATATTCATGTTGGCATTTCACACTTAAGGAAGTAGATCTTTCAGTAACTGGTTTATGCATTAGTCATGTTTTTTTCAATTTAATTTCATTCGTGCATATCCCAACATGTAAACATCTGTGTTTCTAAATGGGAGAAAAGGTGTCTTTTAGTCAACTTATTGAGCGCCTGAAAAATGAAATTTAGAGACTGTTTTTCTTTTGTTGCAAGAAGAAATGTATTCAAGCAACTATTTTTGACTGGTGATATTCTTTATAGGCATGCTACCTCGTCCTCATTGAACATTTCAGACTCTGTACGATGCTGCCTAGTGATTTGTCTCTGGTCTGTGTTTCTGCACACATTATCGTGTATATGAGAATGTGAGTTTGTGTTCCTTAACATAACAGAAGGATGGATCATCAGTATATTTCCAGCACTACTGCGCCTTGTTTTCTTTGCTATTTCTCTGTGGCTCATGTCTTTATATTTGTTAGCCTAAATAACCAGAGCTCTGAATGTACCATCAGTTTGTAAAACGCAGATCACTAAGTTATGTGGCACAGATTTTCATTTTTTTCTTTTATACATGCATTCCTCGACAGAACTCAACTTCTGAATTAAATTCCTTCCCGATGCTCACAGTAGTCACCCTGATGATTTTCTCCTCCTTTTACCATCGACTTTTGTGTTACCAGCTGTTTTTGAGAGATGTAATTTGCCTATTCGTTTAATGTTTGTGTAGCTGTGAAGCCTTTTATTAGTTGAAACAACTTGGGACTGTGTTGAGGTAAAAGTCAAGTGATTGAATTCACATCATAAGCATTCATCTACTTGATTTTTGCGCACCTTGTTTAAAAAATGGGACTTGTACATCTTCATTTACTGATATGAACTTTTTTTTTTTTGGTTTCTGAATGCCAAATTGTTCTATTGTGTCAAGTCATATAAATGAATGTGAAAAGGCAAGTAATAGTTTTGAAAATTTCTGGCTTTTTAAGGTCTTCTTGTTTTATGTGGAAATGAGGATTTTGTGTGTTTTGAACAAGAAGTCCATTTGTGAAATAATACTCTTGAATTAAAATGTCAATCTTTATTTATGGTGTGATGTTTGTCTGAGTCCTGTTTGTTTTATGTTATTGTTGTGTGTTTTTTTTTTTTAAAGGTTTACATGATCTACAGACGATAATCAGCAGCTCCACCCTCACCAATCCTGTTCAGTGATTTTTATAGAAACATGAGTCACGCTACGACCAAGTCTATGTGTATTTTGAAAGATCGTACACCCCAATACAGGTCATGTGTGACATCTTAAAAGACCACTCAAACGACTTGCATTTAAAATGTGGCTTATTTCATACATGTTCAGTTTCAGTATATTTGGTAGTCGGCAAGGTACAAAGTAGCACTTTCAATCTAGGAAATCCCAGAAGCCAAGAAAACACAAGTTATTGTTACTATGCAAGCTCCATTGAAATCATCTTTTGTAAGGGACCAAGATGATGCAAATAGAAGTGTGAGTTGGTGTGTAGAAAGTGAAGATAAAATATAGCTTATGGTCAAGCAAATAAATAAAAGTGAGCAAATAAATGACGAGCTATTGGGGGAGAAGTGTATAAAAAAAACCCACAAATCAGTTATTGAAGCGCATAAACTAAAATGAGTCATTCAAAACATTACAGTTTTGAACAGGTTATTTCAGAATCAGCTTTATTGGCCATGTATGCTTACACACAAGTAATTTGTAGTCAGTCAGCTGTGCTCCCAACGTACTAAAGTACATTAGATAAGCAGAGAATAATATATATGACAATTTCAATTGCTACACAATTGGCTTGAATGATTAAGTATGAAATATTAGATCTAGAGCACAAAAAACTATATTAGTTATTTATAAGCACATACCTTGATTAATATAAATCTATGAATTCGAAAGTATAAAAGTGTTTTATTTATGTTATTCATCGTCCATAAAGGCCTAGGTAGAAAAATGAAAGACGTCAAGGTTTGGGTGAAGTGATCAGAAAGACGCAGTGAAGTTAACTTGGACAAATGCAGGTGAGTTGTTTCCGTGAAGTTTCCAATCCTTCGAAATGGAAGCAGAGTGATACCTCTTCGTGTTTTTTTCCTGCTCTGATGCTAACGAAAGGATTGAGCACCTGGTCACACCTGCCAGGTAGCTTCACAACTGAAGTAATGGTCGCTACTAATCGGTAAGGGACGGGATATCGTTACGGTGATGTTACCGGGATTAAACAAACAGGTAAGGCTGTGTGTAACGTTAACGTAACCTTTTTTTGTTTTGTTTTGGTGAGATGGGTTAACTAAACTAAGCCGTGTAGGCTACTTCAAATACGTAGTTGTTCATCCACATTCCTCCCTGCTCTAAACTAGGCCCAGTTTTCACAAAAATAAACTTAAATCGTAACAACAAGACATTTGCTAAAACAAATACCTTTACTGAAGTGAAAATTGAACAGGCTAAACTGTTTACAGCTCAGGCTCAATGTAACAAGCTGAAAGTTTGACTTTAACAGAAACTCTAACTGAAGAGTTTTTTGGGTCTTTAAATACTTTAGGACTGATAACATGTAAATGAAGGCAAGTATAGACACAGAGGAACAGGCCAAATGTTTCCTGGAGCGGACTTAATTGTAAACTTGAACATCTCACTCAAACTTTTTCGAGTTTCGGGGATGAAAATATAAAATCCGAATTTTATTGCTCAAAATGTCACTAAAGCTAGGGGTCAACAAATTCAAAACAAGCCATGGTTTACAGGCCTAGCTAAATCACAACAAAACATTTATTTTAAAGGTTTAGGCTGTTTGTAGTGTTTGAGGCAGGCAAAGTCCAGCCTGTGTTAGGTGTCTCCAGAGAGCAGGAATGCAGCCATATTTATATAACTTGTTATTCTCTTTGTAGCTTAAATGTATCCGTGTTCTCTGTTAATGATTATCCTTACATATATGTAAGGATAATCTTTTCTGTCTTTTCTGTGAAAGATGATTAGTTTTAATAGTTTGTGTAGCTTTACTATTATCACCTGAGGAGTGTCAAACATATTCATGTTGGCATTTCAAACTTGAGGAAGTAGATCTTTCAGTAACTGGTTTATGCATTAGTCATGTTTTGTTCAATTTTATTTTATTTGTGCAGACATGTAAACATCTGTGTTTCTAAATGGAAGAAAAAGTGTCTTTTAGTCAACTTATTGAGCGCCTAAAAAATGAAATTGAGTTTCTTCTATAGAAACAGATACTGTTTTTCTTTTGTTGCAAAGAAGAAACATATTCAAGCAACTATTTTTTGACTATGATGATATTAGCCCTCATTGAACATTTCAGACTCTGTGTACGATGCTGCCTAGTGATTTGTCTCTGGTCTGTGTTTCTGCACACATTATCGTGTCTTGTATGAGAATGTGAGTTTGTGCTCCTTAATATAACTGAAGGATGGAGCATCAGTACATCTGTCTTCATAAGGCCATACTACATGAACTGCCTTCTCATCTGTGTTATTTACTGACTTCCTACAAAGGGTCAGAAGCTGTAACCTTTGGTCTGAGAGGCACATCATGTATGAAGCTCCACTAACTATCTTTTAGTCTGAGCCAAAGGGTCCCCTTAAACATTTAACGATTTTAACAACGATTTTAAACCCAGGATCAGTTGACCTGTGTATTCACATGTTATACTGCTGAATCATGTTGTTTTGGTTTGCTATTGTCTGTTATTATTTATGTGGAACTTTTTGTGCTGCTGTCTTGGCCAAGACTCCCTCGTAAGAAGTTTATGTATCTCAATGGGAAAACATTTTGTCTATTAGACAAATTAATTGTGTGTTTAAGCCCTAAACTAGAAAAATTTCATTTCTTTTAATTTGGACTTTGCTGATAAGACGTTGCTTGCATCATTATGGACATGTTTGTCCATTTGGGCAAATGTTTCCTCTTCATCTGGCCATCATGTTGTCTGTGTTAGTGCATATGGCACCATTTCTTGTAAGAAAGACTCTCTCTAGACAAATTTTGGAATGCAAATTATTTATTTTTTAATAGATCAATAGAACAATGTGAAACATGTTTACAACCCTCTTAAGTCACTAAGGACAAAAATGTCCACTTACAAAAAACTGCTATAAAAATAGAACAGCTTGATATTTTTTTTAAACTTTTTTCTGCATACATCTCTTAAACAACTTCAGCCCTGCTCAAAACTATCAAACATTCAATCATTTTTAGGAATTTAACCCTTTAAATGCCAGTTTGATTACTTGATGTCACTGTTGTTATTTATGAAAAAAACACAAAAACAAGTTATTTTCCATATAACAAATATTTGGTGGCTGGGGGATTTTTTTTTAAAATCAATCTTGGATATGTCAAGATTATCCAAAATATTGACTTTGATGCATTGTTAGTTTTTGTGTAGCATCAGATTTAAAATGTAGTTCCCTGTTTGGACAGTGGAGGACAAAAATGTCCACATCCAAAAACTGCTATAAAAATAAAACAGGTTGATATTTTTTTCTACTTTTTTCTGCATAAATCTCTTAAACAACTTCAGCCCTGCTCAAAAATATCGAATATTCAATCATTTTAGGAATTTAACCCTTTAAATGCCGGTTTGATTACATGATTCTGGCATTTAGAATATTAAACATTTAGACGTTGTTAAACAATACTGCATATAAAATGTAGAGCTGCAAATTAGGATTATTTTTATTATCAAGTCATCTATTTATTATTGCCATCATTAATTGATTCATCTTTTGGATTATAAAGTGTAAAAGTGATTTCAGCATTAAACACAAACACTCTTTATTTACTCTTCCTGATGAAGCAGCAGATCCTCACGTTGTAGAAGCTATAACCAGCAAATGTTTCTTCTTGTTGCCTTATTTTATACATAAAGAGTTTATTTGTACTCATCTGTTAAGTGCAGTGTGGCAGATTTTCTAATAAACAACCGACACCTACACAAACTCAGACTCAATCTTTACCACATGTCGGTATGTGCAGGGGCACAACGAGAGGAACACACCCATGATAAACAGTGAACTTTGATTTTTACTTTGAGGCTGATTGTTTAAACAAGGTTACAACTTTTCCCCCTCCCAGGCAGAGCTCAACAAGTGTGTCCAAAAATGACTTTAAACAACCGGAAGGAGATTTGTTAACAGTCAGACTCTTGACAGTGCAACAAGTGTTTCCTGAAGAGAGACAGGATTCAAATCCAAAATGTCTGGCCAAGGTGGATTGAGCTCAGATTTACCTGAAGAGGGGGCACTTTTACCTGCTGATCTACAAATCGCAGGCAGAAAAAAGCTGCTAGAGAACGAGATTATCAGTGAAAAAAGGGAGATAGATGAAGAAGAAGACGACTTAAAGCACGAGGAATATGAAGAAGAAGAAGAGATGACCAGCTCTGCTCACCTGGAGCCCACTACTCTGCCGTGGCCCGGAGACAAAGACAAGAGGCCTCAGACAGATGATGATGATGATGATGATGATGGTAAAAGTGGGTCAGAAAAGAGAGTGTCCGAGCCTGAAGAGGGGGACACGGGGATCAGCAGGGGGAGTCAGGACCTGTCAGAGGAGCACAGTCAGTCAGAGAGCGGCAGAAAGAGTAAATCAAAGTGGAGGGAGAGCATGCCCGAGGGAGAGAGGTGGAGGGATGATGAGATCGGGGTGCAGAGGGACGATAAAGGGGATGGCTCACTGGCAGATGATGAACATGAGGAGGAGGAGGAGGAGGAAGATGATACAAACTGGATGCCAGAGAAAGCTGCTCTGGGTTTCACTCCTCATGTCACCATAGTGCGCCCGTCCAGCAAAGAGCTCCCAGAAGAGAGCCGACTCCTCATAGAGAGGGACGAAAAGAACGAGCCACAGATGGACACTGATTCAGCTGTGCAGTTTCAGCCCGAGTGGACAGAAGAGGACGACAAGTACTGTGAGTACAAGATTACACCATGATACTGTAGACTGTGTCCATATTCATGAACTTGTGTAAGGATTAAAAAAGATACATTCTCACTCACTGTGAGCAATGATCAGAATATAGAACAGATGTTTATTGCCATCTGCACAGGTACATGACAGTACAGGTACATTGGAATTATTGTGCGTTTCTCCCTGAATCAGCTTCTACAAAAAAAGTTAAAATTATATCTAAAATAGAATAGCATTATAAGAAAAAAAGAGTAGAAAAGTACAAAAAAAAAGGAAAATAAAAATAAGTAAGTTGTAGTAACAGCTAAGTGACTTAAAATAAACTGAACAGAAGCTATTCACTGTATTAAAGCAAATATATAATACAAAGAAAATAACAAAGGGGAACACTGTACAATGAAATGAAAATATAAATATGTTTTCTACATCTCTTATTGCACCTGAGGTTATTGCACACATATTTTTCACATTATATAATGACAGAGTTTTTTGTTTTTAAGGTTAATATTGCACACTTGTATTGCACTGTGAGGTGGTCAGCTGTCCATTTAGTCTGTGAGGTGTGGGGTGAAGTACTTCCTTCCCATCTTAATGTCCTGTGGTAGCAGGGAGATGCTCTCTGGCCTGTGGTGTCGCAGGTTATAGCCCGAGTTCTTCCACCTGAACAATTTGAGTTTACAGAAGGACTCCTAATGTCAATGATTCATCAAATAACTTAAACCAAGAGTGAAGTGAAGGAGTAACATTAGTGATTATCTGATTCATCCTTAAGAGCCAATCAGAGACTTTTATTAACTTTACATCTGAACATTCATTATTGTTTTAACTATAAATCCTTTATTTTACTAAATTAAGGTCTATCTTATGATTTACTCACATGAAATCTTCAAAATAACTACAATCTGATTATATAACATAAAACTTTACAAATAGATAATTAGAACATAGCCGTATTATCCGCAAGTTTTATGTTACTTCAGGTCACGTGTGTGTCTATGAAACATCATGTTGTAATGGAGCTGGAATAAGGACGGTCTATGGTGCCTTCTAGTGCTGGTCCAAAACACACCACTATAATAATAATAATAATAATAAATTAGATTTATATATTTATTATACCACTGAAGAAGAAAAGAAACGTCCATATAAAGCTTTAATCCTGTCTGATGTGAGTGTTTGATTACTGTTAGTGTTTAGGTTTCTGTCTTGGTCAATGTGCTTTGTGTTTGAGATGTCAGTATAAGTCTTAGGCACACAATATTGGGCATGTTTTGTTTTTAATGACCCAAAAATGCATTTAAACTCTTGAACACGCGCTGCTCGCTCCTGTTGCTGAATGACCAACAAATAACTTTCATTGGATAAACTGATAATATATCTGATTGCTGTGTGTAAACCAAAGTTTACTGCAGCACGTTTTTCACTCAGTAAAGGGAGTAAAGTTAGGGATTGATTTCAGCTGAGTGTGATGATGTCTTTAGTCCTTCATCAGATATAATCACACGTCTGCAGAGCGATGTCACTGCATTATGATGATTCCCCACATTGGTTTTCCTTCCTTAGACCTGTGTGAGCACCTGTGCAGTGAGAAACTGAGGCTGGCTCTGGCGACGGCGGCTGCTGCGATACTTTTCCCTCTGCTGGTGTGGGGGGGTTACGCCCTCCTTCCCTTTGACCCCCCGCTGCTTAGAAGCCCCCCACTCAGATTGGTGTACACACTGCGCTGCTCCTTCTTTGCCACCATCCCCCTCCTGCTCGGTAAGATCTCATCATGTTCATGTTTTTTAGTTACTCTGTAAACATCAACACAATAATCACATGTCATGTCTCTGCAGGTGTGGTGGTGCAGGGTGCAGCCCGACTCCGATTCAGCTCCCTGAAGCCCCTCTATCAAAACCAGCTGCTGAACAAAGAGGTGGCAGTGCATTGGCACTACGTCAACGAATCCCTTGCACTCTTCTTATTCTTCTTTCTGCAGCTCGCTGTCATGGCAACCTACATCAGCCAAGACCTGGTCAAGTTGGTGCCGTTGCTCACCATCATATTTGTTTTTGGAAGGTTTGTACACTTTGTTGTTACAAAAAAAAAAATAGATTGCAAAGGAGGTGATTTGGTGGTGTAGAAACCTGACAGGTTTATTTATCTGCAGTTTAAAGTAACATTCGTTTTTTCCCTCCAGCTTTTATGAGTGACTAGTTTAGTGTAATAGGGAAGTTCAGTTGCAGACGTCACACTCAGCACACTGGACAGAAGAAATAAAAGAAAAACAACTGCACACAACAGCGTGGGTGGACAGGACGATCACATAAATCATATCTTGTAACTTTAACTATATTGTCTCTTTCACTTTAATGCAAAAAAGCATGATTGATTTGAAAGTTCAAAACATGATAACCTTTGGGTCATTACATTTTGAACTTCCACATGCACCAGGAAAATCTGCAAGGAAGATAAAAACAAAAGTTTCACAGGCACATCAGCGCTTTGAGCTGAACACTTAAACCACTATGTTAACATAATCATGACTAGCAGATCAAATGTTTACTATCCTGAGCATGCTAACTTCTGCACTAAATACAAAGAACAGCTGAGCTGAACGGCAATGAAAAAGAAAACATTCTGTTCACACTTGCTTTCTTTGATGTGAGTTAAACAAATATCTGCCAACAGAACAAACAAGTCGATGTCGGAGTCAAATGTTTAGTCCAGACAGCAGCTGTCGACTTTCTCAATCCTCACTTTAACCCATGAGGGAGAAAAGACGATGACAGAACGGCCGGACGTTACTTTCAAGCTTATAAAGAATTTACGTTTTTAAGTTTCATTAAGGTTAATAATATTCTGTGCATTTTGCTGAGTTACTCTCTGTTATATCTCTGTGATGTTGTCTTTACTGTGGCCTACATAGAAAGTTGTTGAACAAGTGTCCCAGTAACTTTTTGAATGCAGCCACCTTTTCCATTTCCAAATAAACTGGTTCAACTGGAAAGTATACCTGTCAGACCAGGTGTAGGGTTACATAACCAAGAGGTCATTCAAAGCTGTTAAAGACTGAAATACACTGAGCATGTTTTACTTTTCTCCTCTTTTTTTTAAATCTTTTTGTTTTCTTTTATAATCCTGTCTCTTTTTTGCCATTCTGTTTTCTCCTTTTTAATTCTTATTTTGGTTCAGCTTGAGTTCTAAATTCAATCATGATGCCACTGGGGTTACAGTTTTATAATAATGGTCACATATTGTGCAAAATAGACTTAAGCATGTTTTTCTAACAATAATACAGTAAGTAACTAGCTGGTCTACAAACCTCCCAATGATGAGAAAAGTCCATCCTCTCCGTCTTTTGTCTGCTCCATTTTACAGAAAATGTGTGCTCAAACAGGCCATTTGGAGATTTTCCCTTTGTGACATCACAAAGGGCAGTAACCCCTCCCCCAGGTGGGTGACACTCCCACAGCTAGGTGTTTTTTTTCCACCCTCTTAGTGTACCTTTCCACCGTAAACAACTGGGCACATAGCGAGAGAGCCCGAGCCACATCCCCTTCTAGAGAGGGGGCATGGTCAAACACCTCTCATTTACATATTTAAAGGTACAAACACAGAAACAGTCTGTTCTGAGCAGGGCTGAAATAGAGGGGTTTATAGGCATGATCAAATACAGGATCAGAGTGGATTTAGAACAAGAAACATGATGCATATTATTTCAAGTAATAAAAAAAGCATCTATTAAGACATTAATCAAGCTCCGGCACAAAAACTGATAAGAGTTCAGTCATTTCCTGTTTTGCTGAAAATGAGATTGGGTTTAGAAGATGAGATCACATCATGTTGTCATTATCGATACAAAAGAAGCTGATTTAAATCCTCAAAGAGACAAAAGAGGGCTTAGTGACTCACTGTTATTTTCTCTTTAACTGCTCTTATTTGATATTTCTTATTCTCTGTGCTGCAGGCTGATCTACTGGCTCTGCCTCTCTCTGGGCAGCACCATTCGAGGCCTCGGCTTCGGCCTCTCCTTCCTCCCCATACTGGTCATGCTGGGAGCCAACCTGTACTACATCTGCTCGTCAGTGGGACAGGGGTCGGTGTTCGATGTAGCCCCGCCCGCCACAGCTCCGCCTCCCAGTCTGCGTTGGTGGGGTTGAAGGCGACATCAGATAATGATCGTGAGGTGTAAAAAGAAAAATGACTTTCAGATCATCACCCGAAAACACTCAGACTGTAGACAACTTGGCTCGTTTCTTTTGGAGTCCTTTTAAATCGTTATCAGATGTCAGGTCTTTAACACTACAGAAAACACTCCTTGAGCAGCTGTTTTGTCGTTATTACTAAGTACAACATCTGCAAGCTCGCCTTGGCTGCTGTTTCTTGTTCTGTTGCTTCCTGGTCAATATTAATAATGACATGCTGTAAATAATAACACAAAAAAATCCCAAGGAAAATGGAGCGGTGTTCTTTTTTTATGGACACATTTTTACAAGCAGGTGAATGTGTCATAATAAAGAATACTGCATACTTCTGTCAAAACCTGTAGTTTAAAAGATAAGAGCACTCTCCTTTCCAGCGCTGTATTATATTAGTAATCTCTCTCTCTTTGTGTCCCCGATGGTGAACAGCAGGAAAGCAAAACATAATTTTGATTTCACTGCACAAGAGATCAAATCAACATCTTTACAGTTTGTGTTCTTCAAACATTCCATTTGTTTCTCTTCCTCTAGATTTGCACTTGTTTTTTATATGTTCCATGGTCTTCTCTATGTTTGTTTGCCAAACGTTTTGCAGATCAGCCAGTTCTAGGTGATAGTCACTGCTGTTTTTCTTTCTGGGTAAATCAAACTTAAAGATTTTAACATGGTTGCTCCTGGAGATTAATTTCCCTGTCCATTAAACAGAGATTTAATTTCACACAGTTTATTTACTGTACTTAATTAGTGTGGCTAACATTAGCAGTGCCTTCAGTCCTCCTTACAGGGTCCACATGTCTGTGTTGGTCAAGTGGTTGTATGACACTTTACCTGTCCACGGTGCTGGTTAACATCCGGGCAGTAGAGTGAGGAGAGAAGAGCCATTAACCAGAGCTACAGCCTTTGCTAGTGGACGTTGGCTGCGTAACAGCTTGGACTCTTTCATCCCTAATAAGAACTTAAAGTAACTGCTTCTACACAGTGTAAGGAAGCGTATGGTAAACAGCGACTGTTATCTGTATGATAAATTAAACTGAATCATCTGCATGTTTATCTCCCGGGTTTATGAAGGCATTTTGAAACCAGTTGAGAGGTGTACGACCCTGTCACCACTCCAAAGGAATAACATATAGAGAGGTAAATACATGGCACAATAGTGCAGATTCAAGTGCATACAAGATGGAGCTTGAGTTAACTTTTACAATTAATTAATTAATTAGACTTTTTTTAAAGTAAATATCAAACATGAATGAGGTTGTGGGTTTATTATGTAGCTTTGAACTTCCTCTTTGTATGAAATCAGTAAAAATTAGTTGGAAAACAAAGTTTAAAAAGTTTAGATACACCAAAAAGGCATGTCAATTGAAAACTACACACGTGATTCTTTTACATTGTGTGCGTTTACTTACCTTATTTTATCTTTGCTGATTAAATTCAGTTTTGAGTTTCAGTACGATGATGCACCTTCTGTTTGGATTTGATAAATACAGTCATGAAACCTGAAAACTGTCAGATTGAAGCTCAGGATCCAGTGAGTCAGATATTGAATATAATTACCAAATAAGGTTATTTCTAGATACTTAAACATTTAAATGTAAACAATCTGAATTTCTATGAATGTTATTAACGCATCTGGAACATTTGAGTTTCTTAAAATGTTAAATGTCAAAGACTGTTGAACATATTACTGTTTTATCAATGAATGATTTGTTTAACAGTTGCATCCGTTCGTTTTTTAGTCTTTTTTTTTTTCTTTTTTTATGCATTAGAGAACAAGAATTTAAAATCTGTTCAATAAAGATTTGTTTACACATATCACCAAATATGTTGTTTAACTGATGTTTCAGGTCCAAATGAAGAGTTGATAAGACATTACCTTCCTTTTCATTGATCATCTGTCCAGCCAATAAGAATCTTTATAACAGGTCATGTGTCCTGAATCATGTAATGCTGCATTCATGTGCTGCTCAGGTGGTCCAAGCTTTAGCAATATATTTACACATCCATGCCAACAAAGCGTATTGAATTGAATTAGAGAAACTCTAAACATGGAGGTACCTTTTATCGACTGATGTTCTTCATTTTGACCCTGGCACTACTTTGACCCAAAAGTACTCAAATCCAACATGAGCATAAACATGTCCCTTCATTTTGTCATCATAATCCAGAACCTCAGATAATACGATTTAGAACTGTTGTAAAAATGTCTTCAATAATTTATCTTTATCTTCATATTTATATCATCAGTTGTACAAATAGACCTTCTCTTGTCTTTTAGGGTTCAGAAATGTCAATGTTCTTAATCAGCTTTTTCTTCCTTAAACACACCTCAGTCACTCACACAAAATAATCCATGGCTCTTCTACTTCAGGTCATTTCCTGAATATATATATATTTTTTAAGGCTTTTTAAAGAAAGAAAAGGTTTTCTTGGACACTGTTCAGGGAAAGTTACGAGACATTCTCCTTGAAACATCACACTCCCTATTTTCTCACCTGGAGTTTGTATTCACTCCTCACTTGATATCAAACTTTCACATTTTTATAAACATGTTTTAGCCTGTGCAAGATTCCAGTAAACCCCTCTGAATGAACGAAAACAAAAACACAAAGAAACTTAAAGAGCTGCGCCCTCAAACCTTTCTGCATCTTCTGCTTTTCCAGTCACATAAACATTCCAACAGATAATTTTATTCTAACCACAATGAGATTTGAATAAAAAAGTACTTTCTATATCTGAGATGGAAAGTAGTTTGACATGCAGAGAAACATCGACCCCTTACCCCAATAAAGTTAAACATACATCATCCTGTCACTGATGAGCCTGAGTTATATTTTAAAGGTAATGAGCTTCATACACACGTTGTACATGTGGGCTATTTCCAGTCTCGGTAGACTTTAAAACTCAAACTCTATGTATCACTTAGAACTCTCTACTGAGGTTAAGAGGTGGCGTGCACATAAAAGAATGGCTCTTAATGGTACAGAGGGAAATTGACTTTGGATGCACTTTTTCTTCTTGCTTATTCTTATTATATGTTCACTGTGGCTTTAGGACTCAAATCCGTCTGCTGAATCATTTTAGTTTGGGACAAAATGAGATGATTGGATGACTTCCCCACACAAACTCTTCCACTGCATATTTTGCACATAAGCTTAGTCCTCCTCAACATAAAGCTGGAGAGCCAATGGCACAAGAGGAATGTCAGAGTAAAACTTCTCTAACTACTCTTCCTGCACTAGAAGTGTGAGAGAGCATGTTCATGTCTCTGGTTAGATACTGTACTGTTTACTTTCAATTATGCAGTCAGCAACTGATAAAAAAAAACCTCAGCCTGTGAGTGGTAAAACATGTTGTACCCAGGCCTTTAGTCATTTTGACCCCCCCCCCGCCAAAAAAAAAATACAACAAAACAGGACATCAACTTCACTCTCAGTCCAGTATCCAATGACAACATATCAAAATCTAACATATAGAAAGAAAACACCAGACCAATATGTTTTAGCATTAAGGTGAATGAAGATGGGTTTTGGTTGCCATGGTAATAAAGTACTTTCTGTTTTTGTTGATTGGCTCACACAGTTGCTTCCTTCAAAGTACGACATCATCTAAATTTAGACGTCTTATTATCACCAGGAGTGTGAAATGAAGCTTCATAGCACTTGTTTGTAATCGTGACAACCAGTAGAAGAAAAGAAAAAAAGAACTGACAATAAAAACCTTTGAACACATCTTATTAATGATTTCATGAAGATGACTTGATGTTTTAAGTGCAACAAATTAAGGTCTCTAGTTAGAGGCAGATGTTTTTTTTCTGACACTAAACAACCAGAGATTTATCTTTTTCTGTTTTTCATGACAGGAAACAAAATAAAGCAGACTCCAGTTCATTTCACTCAGTTTGACTATTTAATATATAAAATACGGTAAAACATACGCAAAAAGGGTAAGGTCTCAAGGGACTTGGATACTTTGGTACAACAAACACTTTTTTTGTAAAAGCGGTATAGAATTTTAATAACATATCAGTGCATACTTTGTATATGAAAATATACACAAACTGTATATCATTCTCAAAAAAACAACAAAAAGAAATATTTTCTTTACAACAAAAACCCAAAGCAGACTAGCTCAACACAATATATTAGCTATAAATTTCATCTTTAGTATTTCATATGCTACATTATTCAGAGTTGTTGTCAAACTCACTTGTGATGCATGTCCTTTATCATTACTGTGTGTAACACAGGTTTTCTTGTTACAAGTATCCCATGCATTTACATGATTCAAATTATTCATGAATGACTAATTTCAGTTGTTTTCCCGTTTTTATAAATATATTCTATATCTTAATTAAAATTGCAGCATTTAACTGGTATTTCCTTCATTGCATTTGCTAATACCACAAGAACTGATCGTGCAATTTTCAGCATGTTGTTTAAAAAAAGGAAACCAGTACTATATGTTTATGATAAGGATGAAAATATAAGAGAGAGAGAGAGAGAGAGAGAGAAATCAAAACAGTTGACTATCCTACAAAATAGCAATAAAATAAAAGCTCCATAATAATATCATCATCATAATAATAATAAGACAATGGAACTGTCACCAGCACAAATTAATCCAAAAATAGTGAGATTCTAAAAAACATTGTACACGACGAGTAACAGGGGTGCAGGTTTCATTTCTCATATAGATTGTCTTGGGACTACACTGCCAGAGTGGACAGAGAAATCTTTTTGTACATGAACAAACCTCAATCGGTGTGGTGTCACATTTCAGTCCACCATCAGCGCCAACAAACACAAACAGTTTACAAATTAAATTATTCTTTTTTATAATTTCACTGGAAATGTCTGTGAGGTAAAACAGATCGTTAGCTCTGTCTGACGGAGATTTCAACGGCTTAGATCTCGAAAAGAAATGATTCAACATTTAGTTTTCTTTAAGGAAGTTGGAGATAACTGATACCGCTCTAATGACTCGATGGTAAATTAAGCTATAGCCAGCTGCCTGTTAGCATAGCTTAGCATCAAAAATGGAAACATTTTTCTTTAATAACTGTCAAGTAGAAATGGACAATATCTTGGCATGTGTTTTCATTCAGATGTTTTGATGCATGTTTTTTAAATTTTTCACAAGAAAAACCTGAGACAAAATAGAACATAAAAAAAAGTCATCAAATTATTGCAGGACAGATTTTGCTTTTGGATAAACTGAGAACGTTTGTGTATTTCTGAACGAGAACCACCAATGAGTGCGATGGATAAATATATATGGTGATGAAGTGCGTGACCTTTCACCCTGGAAAGATCTGAAATAGAAGTAATGAAAACAGCAGATTCTCAATGTTTGCATAACATTACTGGATGGAATAAAATATTTAAAAATGTTGGTTGTAAAATGGACTTAAGGACATGGCATGAACACCCCCTTAAAGGTAACCTGCAAGGTGTGTTTAGTTACATTAGGAAGAGGGTTAATGTAAACCTTTGTGTCGTGCTAAGCTAACCTGTTTCTGATCCTTTTACTCCATTTCTCAAAATGTTAGTCAACATCTTTGTGTGATATCTTTTCTTTATCAGTATAAGAGTCAAATCTTCTCCAACATGATTATTGAGAGTGAAAGTTTAAATGTTTGCTGGGGATGATTGGCAGAAGGAAAAAACCTGAAGTCCTCAGAGTGGAAAGCTTCCACACTGTCCAAAGAGGGACGGAAAAATGACCTGATCATGGAAAAACATCAACAACAACACCGGTGTGAAAACATCACACTGAGGTTCTTCTACAAATTTATGGTGTTGGTGCAAACGCTGGTTTGACTCTGCTGTGACCGATGAAGGGGCAACAGTTCAGACAAGCAGCCGTGTCCACTTCCTTAACAACGCCTTCACTGATTTAAAAGTGAAGGATGGTTTGAGCAGATAGTAAACAGTCTTTCACCACCAGTCTGCACTTTGAGCAGCGTCTCACTGGATTAAAGGTCAAGCAATCAGGAGAAACGTTTCTATTTGAAGACTAAACAACCCGTGTACACACACTCACACACTAACCTGAAATGGTTCAGACAGTTTGTACTAAAAAAAACATACCATTAAACAACAAACACAGCACTTGTTAGCCAATTTCTTGACTTCATTTCTATGTGAAAAAAGGCAAAAAATCTGTGTCTGCTTAATGTGAAAAGATCTAACATGATTCTTTAAGCGTCAAAGAAGTGATTAATCTCTTAACTACACTACAAGTGAATGGCAGTGTCCTAATCATTCCATGTTTAGGTGGTTATGGACGACTTCACTTTGATCGTGGGGTTTATTTTTTGTGTGGTAGGAGAATATGATGACACCACAACCAAGCAGGCCTCTTGTGTGTGAGGGACAGAAAGTGCACACACCATCAACACGAGCATAAAATAGGTTTACTGAAACAAGTTCGATCCACTAGCACAGACTAGTGTGGCGTTTACCCCTGCACATATCAATTTCACACTCATATATGCAAACAGATCCACTGAGAATCAACACATTGCTTGTTTTTAGGGATACCTAGCAAAGTCTATGCAAATATATTCATATGTACATACAACGTGGTTTGAAGCTGAAAAGCTATTTTTACTCTGTCGCCAACTGAAGCGGTAGAAATATAGAAAATGTCTTTTTTCCTTACACTTTTTCCAAACACGGCAAAGAGCTAAGGAGAGCTAGAGAGAGCTAAAGAGGACATCAAAGCTTTTGTATAAGGAGTGATTTTTTATACAAAGTCAGAATTCCTACTTCTGGACAACTAACAGACCTTCAAAACATTTTTTTTTTTTTTTTTAAATACCAACAGATAAAGAACACTTGGACTGAAAAAACCAAATACGTCCCTACCTCAAAAACAGCCACCAAAGGCTCAAAAAACTCTCACTATGCATTTCACTGGATGGCATCTACTCCTCTATAATAAGCTGAGTGCTGATTGGCTGGATTTCTGCTGCAACAAATTCCAATCCAACTTCCAGAGGAGATGAGGAGAGAACGGGAGGAGGAGCCCCCCCAGTCTAAGGAGATAGTGCTGAAGAATTCAAAGAATCAGTTCCTGGTTCTTGTAGTTTTTCCAGACAGTGTGAGTGATAATCCGTCTGAGTCCCTGCACACTTTGCAAGAGGCATTTGGCATTTTTTCTTGTTGCAGAGAGGTCGAAAATTGGCACCCTGGCAGGGTCTCTCAGACAACCCTGTGTGAGTCTGTTTGCCCAGTGCCAGATATATTTATGCTCAGCCCTCACACTTGTCCAGATTTAATCCAAAAGTGCAGTTTGAAGTGACTTAATGGAAGAATGAACGGCACACAATCCAAGCTACGCTGGGTTTAAAGAGTGAGTCATACAGCATAAAGTCCCATAATGACAACAAAGCCACCAATCACACTGCGAACAATGTAGCAGAGCTGTGTGTAAATACATGAAGGTTATGCAGAAACCATGTGAAAGATAAATGTTCTAACAATAAAAATGACTATAAGGGGGAGTCCATTCAAGCAACAAGGCTTTCAAAATCTACTGTTCGTCTGTTCACGGGACGACCCGGGAAAAAAGATCCAGCTGAGCATAAAACTGTCGTCCCTCTCAGAGCGCGATCCCCACAACATCTTGAATTCTTTTCTGTTATTTGGCAAAGCCTTGTAGGTCTGTGTGACGCAGCTGAGCTGTATAATTTGGGACAGAGGCAGATGTGTGATGATAGTGTCACATGGCAGTGGGTGAGGGGGATTGGGCAGTGGGGTTTTTTAAGGATGAGTGTGGGTGTGTGTTTGTGGGTGTTTGAGTGTCCCCAAAACCTCAGTGAGCGTGCAAAGCCTCTATGTCACCCAGGCGTCCAGTCTCATGCGCTTGATGTTTCCTCCCTCCTGCTCCTGCTCGTTTGACGCCCGGAGGAGCTCGGCCGAGGGGCTAAAGTCGGGCGGGACATTACGGCCGGCAGGGCCAACGCTTCCTGTAGCTCCGCCTCCTCCTCCCGCGTTGCCTCCTCCGCCTCCGGTCGCGCCGCCGTCGTCACGATCACTCCCTTCGAAGGAGCTGGCGTTGCTGCTCACGCTGTCAGCAGGTGAGCGGCCCGTCGGGGGCTCCAGGCACAGCAGGGAGCCCGGGTACTGCGGCGGCGCAGTCAGGATGGATCCGGCTGTGGTCGAGGACGGCGTGGAGGAAGATGGAGGAGGGCAGGGTGTGCTGCGATCGCGGCCGGGCGAGACGGGCTCCGACTTGATGCTCACGCTCGAGTTGGTGCTGACGGTCAGCATGGCTTGAGGTATGTGAGTCACAGGCCTGAGAACGGGGTTACAGAGGACAGAGAGAGGAAGGCAGTGAGGGACAGAACGAAGAGGAAAGGCCAGAGACAAACAGACAAATGATTAGCGACTTGACAAAAGGCTCATGAGAAGCATTACAAGGCACAGCACCGACAGAGAAAGCCACACTCCTTTTGTTCAAATCAGTTCATTCTGAGCCTTCAAAGCAGAAAATGTGTCCCCAAAAGATCAACAGAACAGCCCAGGATGCATGAAATGATTGGTGTGAGAGGGTGGCTCGCAGTGAGGCGGCTACCATGTGATGTGTGAACAGAAAATAATGTTAAGAGACCAGTAGTGGAAACCAGAACTACGTCTCTTTCCTGTTTGACTGCAGACAGCAGCAGACATGCTGGGGGGAGGGGGGGGGCGGGGGAGCAGCCAAAAGCGCACAGACACACAGGAAACAGGAAGTGTGATACAGTACCGGCCCAACCACTCATCTCTACCCAAGAGCAGGTTGGACGGAGAGCCAACACTGTGGGGAGAAAACAAAAATGTTGGAGCCCAAAACCAAAAGAGAAGAAGGTGGGTCAGAAGGCATGTGTGGAGAAAAGTGTGAAACATTATTGCGAGCAAAGTCTCTCCGACAACAGCAATAATGTTAGAATGTCTCAGCATCAGAAACACAAAGACCCCAATCTGCTGAATATTTGTATATGGTGTTAAGAGTGTGTATGGTGGCCCTTAAGGATAAAAAAAAACATGCAAGAGTGAGTGAATGCAAACTGCTGTTATGCCTTAGTGAGGTACTTTCAGAGTTTAATTAAGAATAACTTTTCTTTCTGCAGAAGTGTACGGCAGCCCTCAGAAGCAAGTGATGCACTCTAGTGAACTAGTGATACATTTTCTTTCTTTGATTTTTTTGTCCAAATTGTTGTCTTGTGTTTATGACCAAACAAAAGGTTTAAAAATGATCTTGCCAGAATAAGTTTTTATATATTAAAGAATACAACAGAAAAACAGGAACACAGGATTATAATTTAAAATCCTGAGGATTTAAATGAAATATTATTTTACATTCATAGGGTTAAAAGAAAAACCCAGCTGGATACTTTATACATGTGTTACATGTTACATACAGAAACCATTGCAGGTGACTTCAACTAACTAAATCCATATCTGCAGTCAACGACTTAAACTGATCAAAAAATACATTCATTATTATTCCTGCCTCATCAGTAAAATGTCAAAAGTTGATTAAGTTTATCTCTAATATTTTATCAAATCAATGTTGGCCTGTTATTTTAGCAACATATGTTTCATGTAGTTTTGTGTGGACTACAAACACCCCCCCTGCAGACAAGGTCATGACATGTCACACACGCACACACTAGCAGTGGCTGTTCACCTCAGATTTGCAGCCAGACTGGACACCTGGCTAGACAGCTCGTTCTGTTTGTCCATGCCCCACATGCTGTGGACGAAAGGAGAGAACACACTTAAAAGATCTGTGTTCATGCTACCAAATACCAAAAAAAAAAACAAGGCAGCTCTGCAGGATCCAGCTCCCGTAGCTCCCGCAGCTCTGGTCACTCTGAAACTGTCCACTAATCTGACACAGAGGCTTCACGGCTCTTACTTAAACCTTCAACCAAAAATAAGAAAAGAGTGAACATTTCTGCAAAATGGTGTGAACAAGTTTTCTAAATAAAGGGTTCCACTTGACTCGAGTAATTTTCCTTTTCCTTTCTAAACCTAGAAACATCCAGAATTGAGTAAAATCAAGTGAAAATAATGGACGCCTCTGGCAGAATCTGCCTTTTTTATTTTAGACAATGTTTGTTTGAATTTTGTCTTTAAGGCTAAATATCATTCTGAATGTCTATGAAGGGTTGTGACAGCACTAAGACAGAAAGCCAGTGTACGTGTTTATGTGTGTGTATGTATGTTTATGTGTGTGTGTATTTGTTTGTGTGTTTGTGTGTGTGTGTGTGTGTGTGTGTGCGTTTGTGTGTGTATGTTTATGTGTGTGCGTTTATGTGTGTGTATTTGTTTGTGTGTGTGTGTGTGTGTGTGTGTGTGTATGTATGTATGTTTATGTGTGTGCGTTTATGTGTGTGTATTTGTTTGTGTGTGTGTGTGTGTGTGTGTGTGTATGTATGTTTATGTGTGTGCGTTTATGTGTGTGCGTTTATGTGTGTGCGTTTATGTGTGTGTGTTTCTCACAAATCTGAAGTTCCAAAAGCATAAACTTGTATCTTTAATGTATTGTCAGGACTGGGCCTCTTGAGATGTGACTTCATATGATGCAGTCTGTAACTTAAAGGAGCCGATGGAACCTTATTGAGCTGTTTTTACTGACGATTTGATTCACAGTGGTAAAACATACTTACCTTTCACAGTAAATCGAGCATCATTTCAGAGGTTCTAGTGTTTTAGGTTTTTGTACAGTGACCTTTTTTAAAATCATTTGTCGCCTATACTAAACTGTTCCTGAAACATTCCCATCCTTACAGTTTGACACTGTGTTTATATAAATTAATAAAACAAGAGTAGATAAATGTTGGTGAATACTGCAGTGTTCACATTTTATTCCTAAATATATATTTTTTAACCATAATATCAGCTAGCAGTTATTAAACAAGGCAGGCCTATAAGGGGAGGATCCTTAATCCTTAAAAAAATTATATTTCAGATATTGCAGACTGATAATTAAAAAAAATATATAGATTTTAACTATGACTGACGTGTTTAAAATTAATTGACATTTTCTTTTTTGTTTGTATGACATTAAACGTTTTACTTTGGTATTGTTTTTTTAGTTTTTTTAACAAGGCTCCCTCTATTCTGTTTTAGTAAAGGAGGGTTAATGGTGAACTCTTATTGTTCTTTTTATATGAGCACAAGTGATATATTATGAAGTCTTACTTTGGGGTGTCACTTTGAACAGATCTCGTGCCTTCATAAAAGATCTTTGATTAGCCATCAGTCTGTTATTAATAGAGGATCTTTGAGGCAGCAGGATTGTTGCTGAAGAGCCTCAGATACAGCAGATATATTCAGGTTGATGTTATGAAGAGGCAGAGATGGAGAGATGTCGTGAGAGACCAATTCACCAAAACAAACGTGAATTGCTTGTAGAGAAAGTCATGGTATGGATATCATGCATTTGGACTGGAAGTATGTCAGTAAAAAAAAAAGGGCCATCAGTGGACAGATAGTTGTGACACCAGCCTGTAGAGCAGAAATATGTCAGCCCAACACCATCTCCCCTGTCACCTGATGTGAGAGACGGAAATCTTCAGGAAAAGGGAAAGACGCAGCGCTGCTTTGAAGATGGATAAAGACTTACACCAAGTTGCTGAGTAATGAAGGATTAAGTTGTTGTTGTTGTTGCTGCTGGGCCTGCTGCTGCTGTTGCTGTGGTTGCTGGGAAACAGCCTGCTGCTGTTGCCATGGGGACACACTGGTTGGCAACAAACCGCCAGGTGATGCCAGAGCGTGTAGAGCAGTGATGTCTGCACTTGTCAGCTGGTACTCTGAGAGGGGGAGAAAGGAGAGGAAGTCCAAAATTGAATGCTCAAAGTTTCCTTATTTCATCACTGGGAAAATATTTTTTTAAATATTGTTTACAGCCATCTGTTCCTTTCTACTTTCAATAAAAGGATCTTCTTGTGTGTTCAGTTTACCTGTGTTGTACACTGTGGGCATGGCGGAGAAGGGCAGCCCTTGTGCCAGGAGGCTCGGTGTTGCCACAGAGACCACTGGTGTGGTGAGGCTTTGAGCCACCTGAGCTCCTGCTGCGAGCCGCTGAGCGTTCTGCAGTCAGACGAACATCGACAGGTTAGTCACAGCAGAAACATGGAGCAGACTGTCAGCTCTGCCCTGAAGCTAAATGACTTATTACATTAACGCGGGATCGTTTCTGACATGCTGGGAATGACGATATGGTTTGATTCATAATGATGTTCAGAGTGGAGTAAATCTCAGCGACATGTGGATTTACTGTCAGGAGGATTCTGATGACATGCATCAAGACAGTTGTTTTTGAGTGTGTTGTATTCAGACGTATTACATTAAAGGCACTTAAATCAACAGTTAGCTGTAATAATGGCTTAAGATGGGGTTTGTAATTATTTTTTTTCCTTCAGTTTGTCTCAATTAAAAAAAGGAACAGTAAAGAGATGAAGAGTTATTAGACATGAACTGGAGATATTGCAGATACTTTACACTCAGGCACCAAGGCTGTGGCTTTTCTCTTCTTAGACCTCATCAGTATTGACAAACACAATGTCATAGTTTCTCATCAGAAAGAATCTATAATAATATTTAGTGCAGCAACTATTCATTCTTTAAGCAATGAATCTGCTCATTATTAGCTTGATTAATTGACTTTAGATTATACAAATCATATAAATAACTTGATTATCTGTGCAGCGTTTATACCTTTTTCAACACTTTCAACACTGACCCCGCCCCCTGTGCGAACAATAAAAGGTTATCTTATCATATTAAAGTTTTTAGCTCTTTAACAGTCTACCAGTAAGGAGATACATTTTGATTTTTCACACGCTATTTGAATATTTACAACATTTCAGAACATTACCCTGGCACATTAAAGGCTTTATATGTGATTTTTTTGATCCAGCAGATGTCGCCCTTGAGCACCAGCATTTACCTGAAATGAACGTGATCTAGAAACACAGTTAAGCAGTGAGTACAGTATGTTATTCTTCTTTTCTCTAGTCCCTCAATTAAACTACTTTCATACACGAGGGGAGGAGTCAGCCAGCCGTCCAGGCGATGTAAACAAACTGAAGATAGGACTCTGAAAACTCTGAAAACATCACAGACAGTGGGACTCGGGTGTTACACCCATTGTAGACAGTCATGACTCAGAGTTATTTTCAGAGGATATACTTGATTTATATTACATTTAAGTGTAAAAAATCACATATAAAGCCTTTAAACTATAACTACATGAACACTTGAAGCTATCTGGAACTATTTCATCTCTAGTTTTGAACTCTAATTGAGAGCACGGCTGTTCTTGTGTTTCTCCAGCGGATGTCACTAAAGGTCTCACAGTGTGATACCTGTGCGCACTCACTGACAGTGCATCATACCTTTATATTTCCATTATTCATTTTTTAGTGAAGGCTTAGGGTACAAACCTGCCGCTTTCTTAGTGTTTGAACATTAAGTCAGACATTTACAAGGGAAATATTCAGTGTTTTCTCCAACACAGGTGCAGTAAACACACTGTGAGAGACCTGTTAACTGCTCCAGTGAGGTTTGGTTATTATGAAGCCGCTCTGGCAGACACAAATCTGTGTCGTAAAACAACACTTTGTAGTCTGGTTCCGCTGAGTTATACCGCAGATAAAAGCAAGCTGACGTCATCTGTAACATTAGAATAATAACAAGTCTGCACAAAGAAGCCAGAGGTGCAATAATTCAGGTCTGGAATTACACTAATGAATTGTGAGACCTTGTGAATGAAGATCATGCAGAGAGGAAACATTGGGCCTGAGTTATGACTGTAGAGAGAGAGAGAGAGAGAGAGAGAGAGAGAGATGGAGACAGGGAGGGAGAGGGAGAGAGAGAGCGAGAGAAGGAGGGAGAGAGATGGAGAGAGAGAGGGAGAGAGAGAGAGAGAGAGAGAGAGAGAGAGAGAGAGAGAGAGAGATGGAGGGAGAGAGAGATGGAGGGAGAGAGAGAGATGGAGAGAGAGAGAGAGAGATGGAGAGAGAGAGAGAGAGAGAGGGGAGGGAGGGAGGGAGGGAGGGAGAGAGAGATGGAGACAGGGAGGGAGAGAGAGGGAGGGAGGGAGAGAGAGAGAGAGAGAGAGAGGGAGGGAGAGAGATGGAGGGAGAGAGAGATGGAGAGAGAGAGAGAGAGAGAGAGAGAGAGAGAGAGAGAGAGAGAGAGAGAGGGAGGGAGAGAGAGAGAGAGACAGGGAGGGAGAGAGAGAGAGAAAGAGAGACAGACCGCAGAGACGGCCAGATTCAATTAAGTGCCTTTGTGAAGACGTGAGGCGGGGCGGCCGGGTGAGGGTGATGAAAATGAATCAGTCTTCTCTGGAAAATGAGATTCCTGCCCATCAACTTTGAGAGGAAGTGTGAAGAAGTGACTGACAGAGTGTAGCAGAGAGCAGCGGCTGTCATCGCTCTCTCTTTCAAAACATTCAGCCTCGATAAGGAGAGATCTCGATCTTTCCTGCATCTTTAACAATCTTTTACAATTACTTGGGGGAAAATCATCATTTATCCACTTATTGAAATGTCATTTATTTTTCCTTATAAATTAGGACAATTTTATGCTGCAGCTGTAACATATTTGTCTTGCTGGTTGATTTGCTTTGTGTTTTTAGAAAATAATGTTACCTACTCTTATTATTTCCTAGGTGACATTTTGAAATAACTTTTTATGTCTGACCCACAGTCCCAAACTCAAACAAACTGTATCTATTTTATAAATGAATTATAACATATAAAAGCATTAAAATAAGTAAAACAATTATTAAATGACCAAAAGTTGACCATTAAGTTGTGGATCCAGGCTGAGTTGTTAATTGTTTAAATAAACAGAGCCAGTTGATCCTCAAATGTTGAATGTTATAAGTTTTCTTTGTTGTAAACGTTTGTCGTCATGCAACATGTGAGCAAAATGCCTTTAATGTAATTCCAGTAAGCTTTATATCAACTGTACTTTAATATTTTGGTGGAAGGTGACAATGAACCTTTGTGTGAGTGTCAGTGAACAGGGAACATGCTCTGCAGCGCCTCACACCGCAACCTCAAGTGAAAAAAAACACCTATGCTCTAGGTGGCATCAAATGATGAAGTTAATGGGCCTGTTTAAAGGACTGACAGGATAACTCAGTTTCCACTGAAACACAGAGCACTACTACAGTGAAGGTTATTCTACGTTATCAATGAGAAGATGATCCTGAACACTGCAAAAAATGCTGCAACACACAACCATGAGTCCTGAACCACATGCAGTCAGGTTGGGAAACCACAGGCTGAATCTCAAGTTAAATGTCAGTGGAGCAAAACCAAAACAATGACAGGTCTTACTGTACAGTGTTGCAACCATGCTAACAATGTCACACAGTTGATAGCTATCGACTCATGCGAGTGACTGACATGAGGAAAAATCACCTCGTTTACCAACTCCAGCTCATCCTCTGTCTGTAAAGGGTGGTAACAGAGACAATTAAATGCTATTGGGATTCATGCTAACAACTACTGTCAAAGAAAATAGAGTAAATGAAAGTACATCCATGATGGTCATAACTGCCTGCTCTTCTTAGACTCATTTGTAGTTGTTTAGTTAATTTTGATAAAATGTCCCTAAACCTGCTTTTGTTTTTTGTCAACTACAAGCTGTTGACCTTCTCTTATAAAGATGATACAGTGAACTTTCAGCAGATAGATGCCTCAGCATGCAGAAGGCAGACACAGTTAGTCAACGTAAGCTTCCTGTTTGAGCTGTGTGTCTGGTTATCTGATGACTGTAAGGCCAATGTTCACTTTTCCTTTGAACTTTGTATTGGTCTCCACTAACTCCTGAAGAAAAAATCAGACTTTTTTTAATTTTTTTTATCTGCTACTTGCTTTGTAATGTTCTCTTCCTAAAAGCTACTCTCACAAAGCCTGGCCTATCTCAACTCTTCACTTTAAAGCTGTGCAAACTGTGGCTAAACCCATTATCACTCTGCACTGCACAGTGCACACTGTGTATTGCTTTGAACCAAATCAAATTAAACTGAGCCACGATGCTATATCGCCACCCTTTATTTTTTTAAGGGGGGATTGAACAAGTCAGCCCCAAGTGATAAATCCCCTACAAAAAATATATTAAAAGTATTTTTTGGTAGTTCTTCAAAAACTGCTTTATTGCATGATCTAAACGCTAACATGATCTGAATGCTGATAGTTCATCATGTTTCCATTTAAAGCTTGTAGGCTGCTAGCTGGGAGATTGTTACAGTAAGCAACATTTTAAATCTTAAAAACACAAACTGGAAGGGTAGGAGAAGTCTAGTGTAGCAGGCAGATACATGCGAGTGCATCTGGTGATTGGAACTAGCTAGGAGCTAACTGAGTCTGTATGTCATTTTGGGCTAGGCAGGTAGAGAGTGACTTTATACAAACCTTTTGATTGATGATTAGACTGAAAAGATCTGGGAGTTGCTAAAAGAAACAAACAGCAGGTGATAATTGTCTTCTCTGTGGGTCTGTCACTATAAGAGACTCTTCTGACCATCTTAGATTCTATGACGGGTGGGCGAAATTCATCTGTCAAAGGAAGACTGTATCATATGATGACAAGCTCCAGAAAAGCTAACATGTGGTGACACGTTGACAAGTTTTTCAGGTCCAACAGGAAGTAATGATCTATTGGCAGTGGTTTGCGTACTGTGTCAGACATGCTACAAGCTAACGTGGGTGCATGTTTAGTTCAAAAGGTGTCTAGAAATCTCGTCAGCATGTCAGTGGGAGTTGGCTGATTCATCCAGGACTTCACACAGTCTGCCAGAGTCAATAATGAGAAGTAGAACATCGAGAGGAGAGCACAAATCTTGGCTCCGAGGTTTTTTACCAAAAACACAGAAAAGATGCCAGCCTCTCTCAGACTGTTTATCATCTTTTCATTCTTGGATTTCATTTGATACATCAATATAAACTCCCAATGTTTTTGTATAATTTCCATCTCTTTCACTGGGCAGTGAAGGCTGATTTTGAGATCAAATGAAAATAATTTCTATCTCCTTGTGGCTCTTAACAAAACTTCGGGGTTTCAGGATCTTGGTTAAGGTAAGTATTTCAGTATGTTTTTGTATGTAATCAGATGAATAAAATCCCAGTTTTTTCAATGCTCATGGTTAAAAATGTTAACTTAAAGCTCCCAAACAGCACAGGTTGTGCCTTGTTAAGCTCACCATCTGCCTGAGGCTCTTTCCGCCCTGTGAGGTGATGACTCGGAGGTCTGGCTTGCGGCTGTTGACCATCTGGGGGCTCGGAGGTGGGGGTGGAGATTTGGCCGGAACTACTTTCCCCAGACTGTTGCCGTTGGAAACAGTGAGGAGGCCTGGGGAGGCCCTGGCACTGGTGTATCCATTAGCTGCGGGATGACAGAGGTGCGAATGCACAGAAATCGATCAGAAAATCAAACAGGTGAATGTGGATGTAGACAGCAGGGAACGGAGAGCGAGGGCACTTTAAAGTTGTGTTAAAATAATCCTCCAAAAGCTTTCTTTTATGCTATTTTTAGAGGCTCTAATTTAAAGATATGTCAGCAAAGAGAGAATAAAGCTTTCAACATCCTGTCATTGAAGAAAAATCCATTCCAATAACAGCTAAGAAGATGATTTTTGGTTTGGTGATGATTGGACATGATGTCTAGACAAAACTTGTTCCTTCGTTTTAAAATCTTTAACAACGTCTTCTTTGAAATCTCAACAATGTCAACATTTGCACAAATGATAAATCCCACTTTAGAGGCAAAGACTTCAAAATGTCGTTTTTTTTAGACTTAATATCAAATAAAATGAAGTATACCACGTCAGCTTCCTATGAAAATATTTATTAAAAAACTCCTATGAAATCAAAAGGTTTACAATGTTGTAGTGCTGGATATTTGGATACATGTATGACAAGATGTAGAGAAAAGGAGAGGAAGAAAGCATTTAGGACAAATACTCTGACATGAGGGGGACTGAGAGCATTTTACAAAGAAGCAACAAGACAAAAGTCAGGAACAGTTATGAGACTACTCACGGACTGGACTTGGACATCCTCCGTTTGAGTTATTCAGATCGCCTCCGAGGAGAGCACCTTTTAGAAAAAGAATGAAATGGACACAACAATGTCAACAGAGAACAAAACAGACACTACAAGCGTTCACATTTCCTGAAAACAAAGATATAAACTGTACACCTTTTTTTTTATATTCAACAAAATCCAAAAAATAAGGAAGCAAAGGAGTGTTTGAAATTATTGAGAAAAGACAAACAGATGGTGAAATAAAAAGTCCAAAAAATCTACAAATAGACTTTGGATGACTTTGTTTTTTCCACTGCTGTTTCGAAGGTCAACAACGAGAGCTTTCAAACTTCTGAATATTTTACTACGATTTGTCAGCAGAATTCCAAAATAGCATTTAGCTTCATGGTTTTTAGTACTATCATTACTCTGCATACCTGAGTCTTTTTAGTACAGACAAGAGCATCCTGCCATCCTGCCTGTGCACCTCTGAATTCTTTCATCTTGAAACATAAGCCCGAAAAGGAAACTGAAACTTTATTTACAATTGATGCAGGCTGAGCAGATCGAATAACTATCCATGCTCCAAAAAAAGGCAAATGTAAATACACATACCAATCTGCTCAAACATCCACTGGTGACTGCAGTTTCAGCTAAGTGCCATCTTCACAGAATAAATTCACTACAACAGTAAGCTGAAATACAATGGAGTCTATCTGTGCGCCAACAGCTGCAGCTGAAGTTAAACTACAGGAAAATAATTATAAATAAATGCTGCTACACTTTAAATTAAGGTCACAATATTCACCATTAACAAGTTGCTTATTAGCATGCTAATTAGTAGCATACTGGCTGCTTATCACTCATTATTAAGTGCTTATTAGTACCTCATTCTCCAACTTCATAATCTATATCTAATAGGGCAGTTACTCACCTGCACTGGCTGGTCGCTGTGGCAACCCAGGTGACACTGCATTTCTCTGAAGAGCCGGCTGCTGTGGCGACAGGAGGTGGGTATCTGTGAGCGTCGATGATGTAACATAGGAGGTAGTTACCAGTGCGTTGCCAGGGTTACTGAATTGCAGTGTGCTCTGATTGGACGACTGGACTGTGACAGGCATGGAGAAGGTCTGGGGCGGAGCTGCCGTTTGCTGAAAGGACACAAAAACGATTGTTAACATCCATCGTACCAACAAGGAATCAAAAAATGTGTACGTGCTAAATCAAAGTCATGACAAAGTTTGTTTAAGGGTTTTAATATGGCAAAAACAACCTATCATAAGAACAGTTTCTTCCCCCAGGCTGTCACTCTGATGAACGCTAAACAGTCAGAGTGTCAGACCTGTCGCCGTGAATTGACTCTAAACCAACCGTCACTGTGAATATACATATATGTATATATATATTATTTCATTTAAATGATCAATCTACACACACTTATTTATGTAAATACTGTAATGACATCTTAATTGACTCATCTGTCACATAACTGCATTTTACTTATCATGTTACTTCATCATCTTTTTCACTATTCACCACTGCACTGTTTCATATTTAGTCATGTAAATATTAGTCTTTTCTTATTATGTTTATTGTTGATATCTAATGTTGTACCTGTTCATAAGAGAGCACAGTTCACCAAAGTTAAATTCCTTTTGTGAGTAAGCATACCTGGACAATAAATCTGATTCTGATTCTGATTACACTTTAAAATGTGCTCTGTTTTTATTCACTTTCATAGTTTGTCTGGTTTTTAAAAACTCTGAAGTGTTGTGAGTTTTGTACTTTCCTTTTCTCAGGGGTGAACACCTTCTCACTATTCATTCTTTTCTAAATATTTCATTTGAAATAATCTAGTGTTCGAGTACACCCTTATGTTTCTTTCCATGTACTTGGAAATGTAAAGAAACTGTTTAATTAACTGTTACCTCCTGGGATTAACTAAAGTTTCTTGTTGTTTGTGTGAAAAAAAAAAAAGCGTGAAACGGCAAGTTGGAGGAACTTCACACCAGAAGCTGTTTCCTGTGAGCCATTTGACAAACAAACTCTATGTTAAAAAACAGAAGCAGACAAAGCATCGTTTAGAATAAACATTTCAGTTATTATTCTGCAGGTTAGCTGACTTACTCCGTAGCGTTTGAAGAGAACGTCCAGGTCCTCTGTGGTCTTGCGGTACTTGTCGTCGTTAAGGGGACTTTGGTCGATGGAGTCTTCACCGTCCGGCTCGGGACTGTCACAACCATTGAAGCCTTTCTTTCTCAAAGTCTGTTCAAGAGAAGGGGAATGAGGAAGAGGAATCTTTAGGTGACACAATTTTTTTTATTTTTTTTAGCTCAATCCCAATCCAAGCTCTGAGATAGTTACTGACACTTAAATTAACCTGAATGTTAATAAATTATATTCAACTGTACCCTTCTAAATATGGCACAACTTAGTATAAACAATCCTCATGAACAAAGGATCTAAATCAAGTGAATAAGTGACTTTACTTTATATGTAGTGGAGATAATTTGAAATTTGATAATTTGCGACAGAGGCATCACAATCTGTCAGAGGAGGCACTTGTACCTGGACAATAAATCTGATTCTGATTCTGATTCGGGTATATCAGGCTTTGAGGGAGTTGCTGGGATGGATTTACCTCGATGATGTCTGCGTTGGTTCGGCTCTCGTGCGGCTCGTTGTACTCTGTGTATTTGAGCAGAACCTTGTCCATGTCAGTGCTGGCGTACTGAAACAGCTTGTTTGCATGATTAAAGATGATCAGTGCGATCTCGCAGTCGCACAAGACACTCAGCTCGTAGGCTTTCTTCATCAGGCCAAACTTTCTCTTTGTGAACGTCACCTGAGAGGCGGGACATAAAACCTTGGTGAGTTTATTTAAATTGAGTGAATAAATGTGAGCTAACAAACTCTGGAGTTTTGCTACATACAGAAAACAATTCAAGTAGGTCAAACACTGAGGTATACATGTTTGTATCTGTGTAAAACTGTCTTTGCCTCTCCAGTTTCCTTCTTCAGACTAAAACAGTTATTTAGATAACAGAAGATGAAGAATCAAAATCATGACAAGAAAAAAAAAAAGATGACGACCTGAGAAATATCTTTCAAGTGTTTAGTGAAGCAGAGATGACGTCACATGGACCAGAAACATTTCCCGAAAAAAAAGAAGTTTTTGTTGCTGATCTTGGGCTGACAGAAAAATCAGAGACAATCAGCGGCGTCAGTTTTTAGCTTCAGTAATGAAGCATCATTGTTTTTGTGGATGTTTTATGACTCATAACTATTTGCACTACAAAGCTCTAACAGTGTCAAACACTGAGCCACTGTTGTTGTGCTAAATATCTTAATGTTAAAAGAATCAAACATTAAAGATTCATTTTGTGAATAATCCATGTTGACTGAGACAGTCCAGTCAAAAGTTCTCAATGCTGAAGTCAGCACTAAGAGGACGCTGTAAAAACAACGACTCTGGCCTGTGTGCATAGTTCTGCTTAGTCAGAGCGTAAGGAGATGGCCTTGGAATTAAAACCAAACCAAAAGAAATCCTTGTGGTTCACAAAAAACAGAGATAACAGAGGAAAACCCCGAATAATATGAATGAACATTTTTGTCTGACGACTCATCTGACCCAACGGAGAAAACACAAAAACCTTGGTCGTGGAGGAGAACATCGGTCCCTGTGAAGAAGCTGCAGCGCTATGATTATAGATTTATCTCAAATCCAGTCAATCAGTGAAAGCATGTGATGTTTCTGAGCAAAACTAAAGTCGCTCTTAGAAAAGACATGACACATGTCAACTAAAGAAAACCATGTGGAGGACTGAGAGCTCCAGGCAAAAAAATCTCTGCAGTGCGATGAAACCATAATTGAACTTTTCAGTCGTGATACAAAGCACTTTGTTTGGCAGAATTCATCTCATCCATCCAACAGCTCCCCTGCTGTGAAGTGTGGTGGCAGCCTCACACAGCGAGGGCTTGTGAGGAGAAAAGAAACAACGATTGGAGCTGAAAAAGGCAAATTCCCGTCAACAGCCAGCTTTTGAGTATCTGACACTTTTCACTGCAGAAAATGTGCGCATTTCAACGGGACAGTGATACAAGGAATTCAGCAATGGAGCGCAGCAGAATGAGAAAGTACAAAAGCTGTGAGTGATTTCAGTCCATCTTAAATCTGCCTAAGACTGGCAGTGAATTATGAGGATTGTGAACAATATCAAAAGTAATGTGTGCAGGGTCTTTAAGTCTCTGAGCATTTCATGAGCATGGAGACAATATTTTCAAATCATTTTGAAGCATAACAGAGCTTTCAATGCTCAAGGTCTTATATTGAACTTTACTGAAGGTATTATTTTAATCAATAAAATAGATTTTGACATTATGATGCCAAGAGAATTCCACTTTTAGTTACAGAAGCGTGAAAATGTTGTTTTAAACGGTCATTTTGGCCTATATTAGATTTGAATGATACCAAAGACTTTGTACTCTGTTCACTTCTATAATGCAATAATTAATATGAGTTAACTAGTGGAGGTTTGAAGAACCCCTTTACTGGGATTTTCATATGACAGAAATAGGAAAAGGATGATTGACACATCTCACTGTGCAGTTCATTTCACTTGTAAGCCACGTTACTATGGAGACATACTTTTCCATGTTGCTGCAAACTGTTGGCTTTTGATTAAAAGCCTTTTCATAAGGCCTTTTCAACAGCCTCAAATTGGAAATATATATCAAAATATAAATTTACCGATCTGACATATTATACCTATTGATGATACTTTAAAGTTTTCCATAAGCAGTAAGACAGACTGTTAACAAGAGTATTGAGGGTAAATGATACAAAGGTATAAACTAGGACTGTCAGCATTAACTAGTTAATCATGATTAATTCAGGTCAGACATTAATGCATTAATTGCTTTTAAGGCGCTGCCTCGATTAGTCTCCCTGTAATCACAGTGATGGAAAAGAAGGACAGTGCTGCCTCTTTGAATGTCTCATTTCACAACAAAAAAAAAAGAAAACTGACAGCTCGGCTGACGAGTCCAAAGTAATATCAACCTCATGACATCCAACATTTCACTTTGTTAACGTTCCTTTGAGCTGTTTGACTTTAGTTTGTCAACAGTGACGAGTTCCTTTTTCTCTGTGGTTAAGTTAATGTCGTAACCTTCAATGAACCAGAAGGTCCTTACTTTATTTCAAAATAAAAGCATAACTGTTTGTGGCAGCCAGCCCTCACCTAAAAAAAAAATAAGCCACCAAAAAACAAACACATGAAAAGACTCACCTGCTTGTTCCTTTCGTCCGTGATCCGCTGAATCTGAATCTTTTTCCTACCCATAATGCTTTGTGGTTGTGGACACAAATGTTGTAGTCAGTCAAGTGTAGAAGCCCCTCTCTGAGGGTGAGAGGGGAAGTGCCGCCTGTGACCTCTTACTTCAGCAAAAAAAAAAAAAAAAACAGTCACACACAATCCAGCATCCGAGGAAACACGCACACACGCATTTCTCTGACCAGGTGTGTCGAGGCAACTTTGTCGAATCCTCCGACTGAGGAGAGGAGAGGGTGAAGAGATGTGTGAAGTTTGAGAGGAGAAGACCTCAGTTCATGGTTTGTTCCACAGGGACTGAAGTGACAAACTTCCCTGCAGCTGCTGTGCTGAAGGAGGACGTCGCTCCTCTCCTGTGACACACACACACACACACACACACACACACACACACACACACACACACACACACACACACACACACACACACACACACACACACACACACACACACACACACACACACACACACACACACACACACACACACACACACACACACACACACACACACACACACACACACACACACACACACACACACACACACACACACGTCAGGTCACTCGAATGTCAATCATGTTCCCGACACGTTGCACAAACATCAACACAACGCAGGAAACTTTTCAGAGCAACAAATCGATTTAGATATCTCAAATGGGAATGAATTATTATAATCCTGTCGTGTAAGAAAATGAAAACAGAAGTCTGCCTCAAATGAACTGAAGAAAGACAGAGACAGAGGGCGGTGTGACTATCAGAGAAGAGGGGGGAGGGGTCATAGTGAAGTTATCCATCCAGACAACGCTTTGTACCAGAAAGATGCTCTGTGGCGTCCTGCGTCCAAAACTAGTCAAAGCGTTTCATCACATAGGTGCAGAAGTCTTGCTTCAGACTCACTGCTCCAAAGATTTGATTTCTGCTTTGATCTCATGCTCTGAGACTTCAATGAGACTTCAATGAGATTCCCATTCAGCCGTCACAGAGACCATCAGAGGAAGTTATTGTCTAGGGTCTTATATATCCTGCTCAAATGCACTTTAGCAGGTCAAGTTGGGGAAAAGATGTGTTTTTTATGATATACAGTTTTACAAAGAAGTTGTTAAAATATACACCTTAAAATAGACTCAATCTAAATAATTGACTAAAAACCACAAGTTAGACGTAGCTGCTTAAAGTTGAGCAAATCATAAACACAGTCTAGATACTACACAGACGACTACCCTATGTGTCCTCTGTTTAAAGTTACATGACAGGTTTATTCATCAGCCATCAGAAGTCACACAAAATGACACAATTAAAACATCTTTTTTCTGTGACACTGACACAATAATGCTTTGACAGAAACCCCTCTGCACTACTCTTACTAAGAATTTCATGGGCTCAATGAATGGTATTGGGTAGACTGACAGATTATTGAAGGGCTGAACAATGAGTTCTCTAAATGTTGAAAAAGCTGGACTGGAAATCTTGATGTTGATTCAATTAATACTTGAGGGGAAGGGGGGGAATATTTGTGTTTTACATCTTAGGACACATTTCGGATAAAAGTTAGGCTTTTATATTAGATTCACAAATATTTGTAATAGCTGTAAAGCCGTTCAGCAGCCATCTCCGTGTGTCAGCTGATCTCCTCATCGATGTGACAGAGTCCAAGAGTAATGAATAAGAAATGTAAAATAAAAAGGCTTATGATGAACGAGAAAGCCTTGAGAGCTCTGCAAACTCTACATGAGCTTCACCTTTAAGACTCTCTCTCTCTCTCTCTCTCTCTCTCTCTACAATGCCAGTGTGTTTATCTTCTTCTGCTTGTTTTCAGCAATTCACAGACTTCGCTTAGAGAAGTTTTTCTAATTTAATAGTCAAGGGCATTTTGAATGCACTGTAAGTGGAGACATGGATTGATTAATAAAAGTCTTTATATCCATGTCATTCAAATTGACTGAAAGTAATATTACAACACAAGCAGTATTCTTCCCGAGGTAGAGCTTTAAACACATCTACAACTGTGGCTGTACCGTTAATCATATGCAGTAATAATCACAACTCTGACTTCAACAGTTAACTAAACCTGGTCAGGTGTGATGCTGACTCATTTCATTTAGGATGGCTGCTTTGTTGCATTAAATCAGCCCTGAGCTGGAAAGCCTTTATTTGACATAGTCTAATAGTCAATCGACAAAAAAGTGCAGTGGTGATTTTAAAGGTTTAATATGTGATGTTTCACACTTAAATGTAATAGAAATCAAGTATATCCTCTGAAAATAACTCTGTGAGTCATGACTGTCTACAATGGGTGTAACACCAGAGTCCCACTGTCTGTGATGTTTTCAGAGTCCTATCTTCACTTTGTTTACATCGCCTGGACGGCCGGCTGACTCCTCCCCTCGTGTATAAAAGTTGTTTAATTGAGGGACTAGAGAAAAGAAGAATAACATACTGTACTCACTGCTTAACTGTGTTTCTAGATCACGCTCATTTCAGGTAGATTTACATGCAGTGTGAAGATACCAGCATAATAAAGATTGCTAGCATTAGCATGCTAACACAACAATGCAGTGCGAGTTGTTTTGGTTTCATGCTGGTGCTCAAGGGCGACATCTGCTGGATCAAAAAAATCACATTTAAAGCCTTTAAGCGCTTAAATGCTAAACATGATTTTTATTTCTGCTTCTAAAATACAAAGATCAGATGCATTCCTGATTTGAAGAGACCACTTTGGGTCTCTATGAGATTAAACCAAACCTTTTCAACTCATTTTTAACATTTAATTGACTTAACAGTTGAACAATAAATCAAGAATATAATCATCAGATTAGCTGAGTCTGAACAACTCAACTAATATTTCAGCATCTGTCTGACTAACAGTTGTTTCCATCCAATCATGCACTATCTTTACTGCTTTTCCTGTTTGGGGCCATGGGGGGGTGGGGCCTATCCCAGCTGTCATTGGGCGAGAGGCGGGGTTACACCCTGAAGTGTTTGCCTGTCAATCACAGACAGCTGACATAGAGAGACAGACAACCAGCCACACACACACATTCACACCTAAGGAGGGAACCCACACATGCATGGGGAGAACTCCTGGCTGACAGGGATTTGAACCAGGAACATCCTTGCTGTGAGGCAACGGCGCTAACCACTGGACCACTGTGCAGCCCCACTAACAGTTATTTCAACATCATTAGAATATTTTTTACTACTAATTATTTAGCTTATTATGTTAAATAATGTTCACATGATATCCCGGAGCTCAACGTGAGTATCAAGATCTCCTCCTGTCTTACAAACACCACAAAAAGACTCTTTATCTACTTTCATAAGAAACATCCAAGATGAGAAAACCTTACATTGCTACATTTTCATCATGTTAATCTTTTACATGTTCAGCTTAGGGCTGGGCAATATATTGAGTTTTTAAGATATATCGATATATTTTCAAACAAGATATATGGTAAAACAATATCGTTAATATCGTATATAGTTTATGTTGCATTAAAATAACGTTACAGAGGTGCCAGGTCACCTTTGTCTCATCTCACTGATGATGACTGACTGTCTGTCCGTCTTAACCCTGCTCCTCCTCTCTCTCTCTTTTATTTTATAATATTACTTTTTAAATTCACAAACAGGTAGTTTATTTTTCATGTGTTTTCACTGTTAATAAAATACATATCGATATCGAGTATCGCCAGTCAGCTAATAAATATCAAGATATGAGTTTTGGTCCATATCGCCCAGCCCTAGTTCAGCTCTATTGGAGTTTTTTTAATTCAATGATACATGGAACAGGATTTATCTATTTGTTTCAGTATGATTTTACAATCCTTAGCAATAAGAGAGGAAATTTGAGCTGCTTTAAAAATGAAAACAACACATTTTGGAAGTGGAAATGCGATTGTTCCCAAAGGTACATTTTCATAGCCTCACTGCTGCAGTGAATACTGGCAATAAAACACGTGAATAATGAAGCTCAGAGAGAAACTGACAACTAAATAGTTGCAACTATCACTCCACATATTTTGGTATCTTCAGCGCTGAAACTATTTTTCTTCCCTCCCAGTCTCATACTGAGGCTCAGCCCTGTTGTGTTAAGTTTTCCCTGCAGTCTTGACCCTGTGTGTCCGTGCTTTCCTGTGGGATTGTTGTGAGGCCAGACGGAAAATATGAAAATGCCAGCGGAGAGCACATGGGGCCTCCAACAAACCACGTTTCAACACTTCAGAGTGTCCAGCTTGAGAATTAATCAGAAGCTGTAACAAAATCCAGCATATTAGGTTCTTCATTTCATGGCACCATTAAATGGCGACTTCAGCGTTCAGGCTTTCTGCTGCTTCTGAGCGCACGCGTTGGATGAACGGATAGATATCAGCCCTGATACTGAGCTCAGAGAGGGCATCAGGTGTTTGACAAAAGATGACACATTCACATCAAATATATATATATTTTTATCGGAAATCTGAGTGAAAGTGAGATAGTGTTTGCAGTGTGGTGATTGGATGATGATTTGCTGCCCCTGTTTTCCGATTTACAAGTAAACCTCAAATACTGGACTTTTGCACAACATGAGTCATTCGGAGTCATAACTTTTCTGATTTATTCCTGTGCATTTTTTGTGTTTGACTATTAAGCATGAACGTTTAAGCTATGTGCTGATAAAGAAAAGTGTGACAAATGCCCATCACAATATACTGGGGCACAATGTGACGTCTTTAAGGTAAGCTTCTTACGATCAACTAATTGTTTAAGCTCTGTGTTACAGCTTGTTACAGCTTCAATTATCTCTAATTAGATATGACACAATTTCTCCAGGTACCTCTTCAAACTGTGCAAATCTTATAACAAGCATGTTTAGGCTGGGAAACGATGATTTAGAAGCATTTACAGCATCTTCTTGAGGGAAATGAACTTTTACCTTTTGGGCATTTTAGAAACCTGATTTTAAGCCTCCAAACCTGTTTTACATAAGTGTGTTTATTTATTGCAGTTTTGTACTCGCTTAATTATCTTAATACATTTTAGACTTTTGTAGACTGATTCTAGCAGTCTTGTATTATCTGTCTCCTGTTTTTCTTTTTGATTTAATGTCGGTTTTCTAATTATTTCTGTAATGACTCGATGTCATTGTAAATGAGGGTTGCCCCTCAATGATCTTTCGGGTATAAATAAAGGTTGAATTGAATTGAAAAGTGGCTCATCATCACTTAATTATCTAACCAGTGAAAAAAGTTAATTTAAAGTGAAAAAGGTGAAGGATATTCATACGACTGTTATATTCTGTGTTGGTGACCATAATAAGAGACGTTAAGATGTCCATTACTAAACAACATTATATATGAACAAACTAAATATCAACACGTCACAGATACAATCATGCATGATGTGATCTGAGCTGTGCTTGGCTGAAGATTTTTATACACTATGTACTCACAGTAGTGCTCAACCCCATCATAGATTATTCATTAAACGTCACAGTAGGACATCAACTCTAAACTATTACCCCAACAACACACTTAGAAATAGCCAGCTCTCAAAGAGAAATGATAAACTCCTCCTCCCTAGTAACTACTAATTTAATCCCTGTCGACGTACCATGTTTTCTTTGATTAGCCAAGAAATTACCAAAAATTGGGCTTCACATCAAGGCTTCTGTCTAGCCTCAGTCCCCCTGACTGCCCTCTGCATGGCTGCCCCCTCATTACTGTAATTGACACGTTCGTTCCTCCTCGTCCCCCCTCAAGGCGCTGATGGCTCAATTAGGTGCTGGCCTGAGGACTCTGATTGGATGCCAAGATAATGAGGTCGCCGCTTGGCTAAAACAGCGTCCAGCAAAATCAAGCTCGTTTTGTGACACACGCAAGGCAAAGAAGAAAATACAATTTTTAAAGCATGTCTGAAGACACATGTAGTTTAAAGTGGTGAAGTATGAGTGACTTAACTCATTATCTTCGTTTGGTGACTCGGGATGACATGTCATACGAGTCGTCCAAGTGAGGGTTACGCAACCCTTGAATATTGTTCTGATGAAGGACAGGGCAATCAAGCTCATGGTAGGCATCTGTCTGTTTTGGAGTAGTGTAATTAGTGGCTATGACCTTTAGCGGATCATGCACTAACCAATGAAATGAGCCAAAGCCCTGAGATAAATGGTCCGAGCCTCAAACGTGACTAGCAGTGGGGTTTGCCCCTCTGAAGCTCTCAGTCAGGGCTTTGGGACGGTCTTAATGGCTCAATCTCAGCCTCCCATGGACAGCACTGATTTGCACTCATATAGACGTGTGACTCTGCATCAACATTTCACCTGACATTGACAAGGAACCTGGGGTGATGACTAATTTATGGATTCGAGGTCACTGGCGAGCACTGCTTTAATTTTCTCTTATTGATTATGTTTCGTCAAAAATTTGTCCAAGGTGCCATCATACAGGTATTCCTTCTTTAAATCAGACAATCCATCAAAACACAAAGAAGATAGTCTTTTACTCATAATCTATAGGCTACTCTCATACACAATGAAAATAAACAAATCCTCACATGCAAGATTTATTAATTAGTAATTAATGACTTCATTTTGCAGAAATGTAATCAACGTAGAAAAAAAATGGAAAAAGCTGCCACTTTTCACCCAATAAATCACACTGATTGGTCATTTTTTTATATTGAAGCGTTGCAATGACTCTCTAATTAATGTAGGTCACTATTAAATAATATGTTTCTTCTTTAAATCACTTAATTAACGTCTTCTTGAATGCAGCATTATATTGTTTTGGTTACTAAATTATTTAGTTCTTTTGACAATAAAATTGACAAAAAAGCAGAGTTCAGTGTGTTGCTATATTTGATTGACAAATTGCTACCATAGCAACATTGTATTCCTAGTTTTCCCCCTGAAAACTAGGAATAAAAGATTTGCCTCTACATTTTAATCAAATTGAACAATCAAGTGTGTTTTTGATTTGTCTCTGTCCCTTATAATGTATTTCAATCATTAAAAAAAACATGTTGTTGTTGTATTGCTATTTAATTCATCTAAGCTAAATCGATGAAAAACACAAACAGTAGGACTTGCTGCTTGTAAGGCTTGACAGACTTTAGATTCCCATGCACCAAATGATACTGAAGATGAAAAACATGAATGTTGTTTTAAGAGTTTGTGCTGGGGACTTGTAGTAACTATCTATTAGTTTTATTTTGTTCATCAACCACTCCCAGCTTTGTAGGCTCAAAGTCCTTCTCATAGGAAGTAGCAAGTTTCAACAACATTGTTGTTTTAAACATCTTCATTAAATACGTCTATACATCTAAATACATCTATAATAGCAGCCAATATGTGGATTCAAACTGGAGACAGAAGGATTCTCTGGGATCCATGTGAAATTTCAGGATGTAGGGAACTTCTCCTCAACCCCAATAATACAAATTAAAAAAGGATTTAAACCAGTCCCAACAAACACATCACATCTTCCAATGACCAGCGTGGTGCTACAAGAGGTGGTTGATGAAATGTGTCAGTTATGCTCTCATGAGCACATACAGATGTTGATATTAATCCATCTGCAGGATGGCACACATGTTGGTGGTATCGCTCTGTCAATCTGGCCTACTTCTAGCCCAACAGCTTTGGTATACTGGGATGGCACAGAAAATTATGGCTGCACAGGCCAATCTTGAACACATAGCCTCACTAATAATCCACAGTCGGTGCCTTGATTTGATTTGAGTCTTAAAAGGGTTTATGTCAAAGAAAGTAGTAAATAAGCCCGTAAAAATGTCCTTTATCTCGCTACAGCCTTGTCGTTTCTTATCCTGCATTGGTATTGTTATGTCTTTTGTCCAAAATACTACCAAAATACCATTACCAAAAATCAAACTTAAACCCGTAAAGGTAATATTTCTTTCTTGGGGCGCTTAGTAATGAAAAAGCAGCTGCATGAACAGCTTCGAACAATAGGTCACTTATGTGTAGTTTTCCTATTTTCTCCCTTGATCTCATTAAACTACCAACCATGTAAAATATGGTATGCAGAGTCCATGTAAGGGTAAAAATCACCTCTTTTTGAAGCAAAGCATGAGCAGCAGTCATAGCTGTGATATCCTCGACACAGTGTGACAGATGGGAGTCTGAAGACCGAGCAGGCCCACAGACAGGTACCCTACAGGATCTCATTTAACACTGCTATCAACATTGTGTGCTCTGATTTTTCGACAAAGCAATGCCCTCCTTTGAGACGCTAAACACGGGGATTGGTTTACAGAGCAGAAACAGGAGCCACTCTACACAGGCCATTTCACAATTTTCAAGTTACGAGTCGACCGACAGCCATTACCTTCCTTACCCTCTCTCCATTTAACTGCGAGCTGGAGCACACACGCACTACTTTACATCAAAATACGGACATTTAGTATTCACCTAAAGGCAGTTTCTTTATTTGATATACATTAGTACAGACTTCCATGTTACTTTATCAATTTAAAATTATAAAGCGAGCAGGTTTGTCCTCTTGTGTGAGAAAAAAAGACGCAGGAAGGAAATGTATCACTCCACTTACCCTGAAATATTGTTGATAAAAAACGAACACAGGCCTGTTGACACCGGCTCCAGAATCGACCCGCCTTGTTTACGAAGCATTAATTAATCACGCTTAATCGACGTCTCTATTTACATGAATCCGCGGCATTTTATTCCATTTAATGTTGAAGTAACTATACTGTCCACCCAGGCGATACAGTGAACCCAGTGTACGATCAACGTCATTGACATTAGCCCGTGATTGACCCATCGGGAATCCAATGAGAGCCTACCGCGAGGGCCTTCAGGCCAATCAGAGCGCAGTGTCACCGAAGTAGGCCGGCCCGCAAGAGAGGACATGACGGAGGTGACGGCCATGTTCTGCAATAGTGTTTGTATCCCTCCGCTTCAGTATTTACCTTTGCATGATTTTGCATGTGGGGAAAATGTCACTGTAGCCCCTCTGTGCCCTGCCTGCTTTCCATACGAGAACCCGCTAAGGCCATTTGTTTGTTTCACCACATACCTGCAAACCTCGAATAACCGTAAAGACTGTTTCACACATCACAAGAGAGAAATGTTCAGTGTTATGAAGCGTCGTAATTGTTTTCCACTGCCTGTTTTTTTTTATCATGTTATCCTGTTAAGGCATTCAGCTAAAATGTTGACGGATTTTTAGTCACCTTGTGAAAAAATACCACATTATAAAGTAAATATGTGGACATGTTAACAGTCGTACCGCCATAAAATGTCTAAATGGGTAACATTAATCACACAATAGTTGAATTGTAGGCTATTCTAGTCCAATAATGTGCAGTCATGTAGAACATTTCCTTTGAATGTCGTATGTATGCTAAGTGTGACTGCTGACCTTTTAAAAATAACATAAATAGCCTACTAATAAAACAACCCCAGTATGCATCTTAATTTAGATTTTATTAGATTACAGGGCTGGATTAAAACACTAGAGGGCCATGGGCCAGTTATTTTAAGAACCATTCATATTCCAACTCTCCCAATCAATTCATTTTACCAAATTATTTAACAAATTAGTTTTGTATCCACTATAAAATGTCAACTGATATATCAAAAGTTTTCTCTCAAGCAGACTGGACATTCAAGGTCACTAAAACGCAAATATAGTATAAATGCAGAAGCACACAGTTAAAAGTGTAATATCATATATTTGTATGTCTTTGAGGGTGCCGTTTTCAGCAGTGCATTCATTTATTTTAAAATTGAGACAAAGCTTTAAATTCTCGATTATCAAACTTTAAATCACGAAGGCCTTATTGTTACATTTCAATGGGGTCTGAAGGCAGCAAGCGACAACCTTGAGAACCTGTACCTATGTACATTAAAGGATCAGTTCTATATTTTTGGAAACAGTGTACAGTAGATTATACAACAAGATTCATAAAACGGTTACTTTTGAATGTTAGAACCAGAAGTTCAATAGTAAGCTTAGTTTAGCATAAAGATGAAAATGAGTGTGTGGGGGTGGGGGTTGCTCTTTTCTAAGATTCTACAGTTAATTTAAGCAGACACTTTTATCCAAAGCGACGTACATCAGTAAGAACAACATTAGCAAGAATCTATAAAAGAGGAAACAACGTCAGTAAGTGCAAAAGTATACAGCTTTAAGGTGATCGGACAGGCAGTGCATGCACAGAGGCAAAGCACAACATCGACGGCTGTTCTTGAGAACTTTTTAATGCTCAAAAAACATTGGGACTTAGTCTCAGAGAAATATAAGAAAATAGTTCTACCACACCCTTGGAACACTAATTTTTCATGCCGGATAACCAACATGTATCAATAACATTTTGTGTTAAATGAGGAGTTGTATGTATTGGGCAGTGACTCTCATTTAACTGTTAGAAAACAAAAAAAGTGTATTTTATTTTGAAAACTATTCCTTCGCTTTGCCATCAATGGTTACAAGGCAAGACAGATAAAACAATGAAAGGATGATTGATGAGGGGTAGTGATGTGAAAAGCAGTTCTTTTCAGTGTACTGAATCAGTAGAATCAGTTCAGTAAAGTGATTCGTTCAAAAGATTCGTTCACTGAATCGTTCAGTACTTCTCTGCAGCTCTGTCTGTGAATCAGAATTTAATAAGCTGAAACACGGCCGAACGTTTAGTTCTGCTCACAATCGTACTGAGAACAGCCGGTGGTGAATAATAAGCCAATGAGCTGAGAATTTAGTTTGCAAACTGAAAGCTGCTAAAACAATCACGTTTATTTTCTCAGACCGTTCTGTTCAGTACGTTCAGTACAAGAAGAGGAAGAGAGTGACTTGGATGCGGAGCTCTTCCTCTCAGTTCGTTCAGTGATTCACGTCGGAGCTCTCGTTCAGTTCCTTCAGTGAACGAGAGCTCCGCCTCCAAGTCACTCTCTTCCTCTCAGTTCGTTCGGTGAACGAATCACTGACTGAACGTGAACGAGCGAGACTGCGAGTCACCAGCCTCAGTCACTCTCTCACACACACACACACACACACACACACACACACACACACACACACACACACACACACTGTACTGACTGTACTGACTGAAACATGATCGTTAGTAGATGTTAAAACAGTCAGCTAAGTGAAATTAAGTTGGATATAAAAGCCGTTTGTAAACTGACAGCAGCTATAAAAAGCACATACATTTTCGCGACACCTAAATGTTAAATAATATATTTTCTACTTCTACCCTCAATTTTGGAGACATGAGAGGGAGAAGTAGGGGCGGGCTTTAGTGACACAGAGCTCCCGACCGACTCCGTCCTGTTGGTTCAGTCAGTATGTATCACTGACATGAAGGGAGAGGGAGGGCGGGCTTTGAGAGACTCTTACGGTCTAGAGAGAGAGAGATGAGACGGGAGAGAGGAGAGCGCAATTAAAGTTGAGAAATGAACGACTCTTTTCAGTAAGTGATTCAGTTCAGTTTGTTCACCCAGATGATTCGTTCGTTTTAAACGAATCGTTCACGAACTACACATCACTAATGAGGGGAGGTAACTCATCCAGGCAGTTAAAGAAATACTGTAGATTGAAAATGTCCTGCATTCCTAATATTGTGCTGTGTGCATTATTCTTTTCTCCTCTGGGTTTCCAGGCAGACTTGTGTCCTAGTTTAAAAAACAAATGCTATATAAGACCTGGTGCTGCGGACTACTGGGAAAAGAGGGGCCGACAGAGATAAAACACATGACACCTTGGAAAAAAGCCTCATCAGGGACATCTTGTATTAGAAATACAGTATCAAAGACTGGCTTGATTTGTTGCATTCAAACCCACACACTACAAATAGGCATAAAGATGAGTCACAGACAGATCTTACAACACTTTACACTCAGACATGGACATCACTGCTGACCAGAATAAGCAACAGAGAAGAAGGACAACAAGATCTGCTCTTGTGCACAGAGGAAAGAAACCATGTTAAAGGGACCAAAATGCCCCCGGAGAAAAGCAGAGTGCAAGAATCCTGTGATGACCTGAAAGTTTTCGAGAAGTTCATAGAAGTCATTTGAATGGAGTCCAGCAGTAAGAAGAAAAGTCAAAGTGTGTAGCATAATAGTGTCCAGAGGCAGATGTAAGAAAATGAAAAGCAGGTTACAGAGTGCACAGAGATCAAGGCAGCAAAGGAAGGGAAAGATCAGCTGAAGAAACTCCAGAAAGAACCGGCCTCAGGCTCCTGAGAAGAGAACAGAGTGGGCATCTGTTAAATGTTCACACAGGCTGAAGAAAGACTTACAGTTAAATTGCTTGAACTATTGAGTGTTGTGGCTGCACATCAGTTGGTAGAGTAGGTTAATTGGTCGGTCATTTGATAACAGAGCTTTTTTGTGTCTCTGAGGTGGAAACTACACCCCATGTTCATCCATACTCTTTATGGATAACATGCCAAATGAACTCATCGTTATGAAAGTAGTTAGAATGCAGAAACTGTAACTGCAAGTATTGAAACCAAGGATACCTTTAGCAGGGAAACATGGGAGGACACAAATTGGTATACACAAAACATGGACAAATGATGTTTAAGGTGTCTTATTCTCACAAAGCTTCTGAAAAGACAGTAAAACCATAACGTCCTGATTTCCACCCTCTCTTTGAAACAGAGAGAGATTAGTGAAGATGCAATCAAAGCTTCTCTCAAAGACACTTTGTTCAGGAATATTTTACCTCCTGGGGCCAATCTTGTTTGATGACACTGTTCACATTTTTTTGTTACCATAGAAATAATCTGCTCAAACATGCAAACAGGACTGAACTGCTTGCATAAATTGTGCTTTACTAGGCCTATATTATTTTTTTGCTTTGTTTGAATATGCTTGGCCTTTTCTGCACATCTATAACATGTTGGTCCAACCTGAAAAGTGGGATCGCTTCTCTGTTGCAACCTCCCCACATTTCTTGGATTTATGCCATCATACCTTAAAATCCTGTGTGACCATAAGTTTGACCTGAACAGAAGGCAGCACAACAAACCTTAGAGGTCGTCGGCTCCCGTCTAAAAATGTGCTTTTTTTTACCCTCACTGGTAATGACAAAAACAAGCCAGAGTGCTCTCCATGAAAGTCTCTCCCTCTCTGCTGCCCACACATACTCCATACTGCCTCCCACACACACACTCCACTCTGTCATCATGTTACTCTTTTAGGACCTAGTTTAATTGTGAAGACCAAAGGGCACTTGTCGCTGAGATCATTCGTGCAGCTGCTCAATGGGCATTTTTCAAATTCAATTTCTGGAACAAAAAATAGGTCAGTCTGATTTTAGAACGCTACTGTGTCTAAAAGTTTGATTATATAATGCCATGTTGTCAAAATGTCATTTCAGAAGAAAACTAAGATAACTAATAATAAGCCTAATGCAAAACTTCATAAACATATTTTAAACTTGTGTTTTTACAAAAATAATTTGAATATATTGTTACAATTGACCCCCAAAGCAGGTTACAAACACGTAATTGATCCTTTTAATTTCCACAAAGAGCCATCATCAGTCCAACTATTATATTTATTTTTAATTTTTTAGCTTTTTAACTAATGACATTGCAATCAGCCATAGCTGATTTTTATATCTACGAAGAAGTACTAGTTTACGCTGCAGTAGATATGAGATGCAACGGGATCTAATAATGACCACTAATAAGCATATGTTAGCATGCTAATAAACTGGACTATGTTGCTGAACATGCTACACAATATCACTTTTAAAATAACATCAGCAGGTTATTTAGCATGTTAATGTTAGCATTAAGCTGAAAGGTAACATAGCTTCCAGTAGACTCTGGTTCCATCATGCAATTGTTTGTAGTTATTTTCTAAGGTTAAAGGGTTAAAATCGTTTACATGTTGTGACCTTATGTACCGTCTGTGGTTGTGACTAGTCATTGTTAATTCTAAAGAATCTATCTTTAGGCAAAGGTAATTTGAACAAAATAATCCACCACAGAAAGATACATAAGTGCTGATTAGTCAAAAAAGAGACTATCTAGGACAGGGGTCTGCAAACAGGTAGCTCGGGAGCTACTGGTAGCTCACGGGCAGGTTTTAAGTAGCTCGCCTATAGGTTGACCGACTGTGTTAAAAATAAAAATAAAAATCTGACAACGGTAAATGCACCTCTTCCCACTATTCATATATTTGGCCCATAAAAACAAGTATGAAGTACTAATGTTTTCTTGGACATTGATGTGAATTTAAGATTATTGATAAGCATTGTCTTGCAATTTCACACATGTACAAACAGTAGCTTAATTCAGCTTAGCTGAATGCAAGCGATTTGATGCAAGTAGCCCTTGGCCACTTTCATTTTTTGAAACTAGCTCTCAGATGAAAAAAGGTTGGAGACCCCTGATCTAGGAGCAGTCCATTTACTATTCACTACATGACTTGACCTTTTTTGGTGTCTGGAAGAGCTAATATGTGTCAATACTGGCCAAAAAAAAGACCTCATATATGACTGAGAACGGATAGGCTGGACACATCAACCTTCTCACAGGACTTGATACTAACAAGTCTTTAACCAAGATGAAAAGTTAAAGAAGTCTTCTGTGCAGCAGCAGTTAAATGCTCAAAGAACTTTTTATTTTGCTGTTCATGTCTTTCCAGAGTGGATGGTGGTAAGGGGCAAGACCGCGCTTAAGACTGGAGACTCTCCCGACTCCACAGGCTCCACCTCCATAAGCAGAAGGCTGTCTCGAGGGACAGTTAGCTTGGTCACGTTAGGAATCCCGGTCACCACGCAGCAGCTTACAGCACTGCGGAAAATCTCCATGTCAGCTGCCTCGGACCACACGTTGGTTGACGCGTCGTAGAATTCCACGTTATAGGATGTGGTGAAGCCATTGAAGCCTCCGACAGCAAAGAGTTTGTCGTCAATGACTTCGATTCCGAAGTTGCTGCGGGGTTTCAACATGGAGGACACTGCGTGCCAGGTGTTGGTTTGAGGGTTGTAGGCCTCAGCGCTGCACAGGCGGGTGTTGCCATCAAAGCCACCAACCTGCAAAGGGAAAATGGAGACAGAACGATCTACTATCACAATCCAAATAGAGAAAATGATCATTCATTGCATATAGAGCAAAAGGCAATGTATTAAAGGTGATAACAGCTAAAGTCAGTGAATTTGTCAGTCACTGACTAATCTGTCCAGATTATGAATCAAACAGTCTTTAGAAGACTCATTCCTATATCCAGTGATAAACTGTATTTCAACATTTACTGGAGGGGTTGGTATGATATTTACACGAACATATGGATAAATCTTAATAACTTAACTGATCCACAGCTTCATATCTAGCAACAAGAGGTGGACATTTGCTGTTTTAAGGAAAATATATCAATATATGTTGAATGAATTAGCATGATAATTGACAAATCATTGAGGATTGTGATGGCTTTTGCTTTGTTGGCATGCTAACCTGCTAAACTAAGAGAATGAACATTGTGTAAACATCATAACATGAGCATGTTGGCATTGTCGTTGTTAAGTTTTTAAGTTTATAAGTAGGCAGTGATAATATGAATTTACTGCATAGACAAATCCTCCATAAGAAATGACTCCAATTCCACTGCGCCGGCTGATCATGGGGCTGATCATTGTCCACTGGTTGGTCTCAGGGATGTAATATTCACATGAAGGCAGGCACTCGTTTCCATTGAAGCCACCACAAATGTAAACCTGTGTAGAACACGAGGGTTATTAAGAAATGTACCATTTTCTAAACTTTGTCAGATTTCTTTTAAATGTCAATGTCAATATAAACAGCAGTATCATGTTATCTACATGTTAAATCATTTCAGGTGTGACCAAACATTTAGTGAAGAATGTGTTAGTCAAGAAGAAGAGGGCAATACTGCAACTCGCACCACTTAACACAGATCAGAATCAGAAATACTTTATTAATCCCAGAGGGAAATTCGATTGTTACAGTTGCTCCAAATATACAATAGAGCAGTAGAAATATAGTAAGAAAAATATTAATCAAATAGAATAGGAATGTAAGTAAGATTTCAATAATAGGTACAATAAATATTTACAGGAATAAGAGTCAGATGGAATATATACACACATTTTCAAGATTATTGTACTGTTTGTTTCAATATTGCACTTTGTTATCATGGACATATTATTCATTATTATTATATTGCAGTTTTAATAAATAATGAGTTATGGTGGAGGTTACAGTTTTTCAGTCTGCACAGAATATTATAAAATCTTTACATAATTAAGTTGGACTCTACCCTCTGGACAATATTCCTACTTACTTAAATAAACATTCCCAAGATCATCAAACTAACTGTGGTCTTCTACCTCATCTAATAGTTTTCTTTACACAAAGCCCTAAAGTTCTGCTAGTGTAAGACTATGTAGTAGACTCAGTCGACTATGAGTCTCAAGTAGTTCACAAAACAAATGATCAATGTTCCAGTCTCTGTCATACTCCTCTTTTAGTCCCAGCTCTTTTTTTTTGCTCTACCTTGTTGTTGAGTGAAGTGCAGCTGGCGTCGCTCCTCTGCTCGTTCATGGGTGCAATAAGACTCCACTGGTTGGTCTCGGGCTTGTAGCGCTCAGCAGTGTTGAGTCGTACGTGCCCATCGTAGCCTCCCAGGGCGTAAATGTATCCATTGAGCACGGTAACACTCACATAGCAGCGACTGCAGTACATCGGCGCCGCTTCATGCCAGGTGTTTGTGCTCAGGTCCAACCGGCGCACGCTGTTGAAATGCTCCACACGATCAAAGCCACCAACACAGTACACGTACCCGTCGAGGAACGCAGTGCCGTGGTAGGCCCGGGGACACTCCAGATCGTTTGTCACGTTGATCCAATGGTCGGCTCGAACATCGTATGCCTCGATGCCATGAGTCGGATCGCCACCGCTCCAGCCTCCGAGCGCCAGCAGGACGGCAGGAGGCAGGCGAGGGCGGACAAATGGGTTGAAGAGACCAGACAGCGATGGCCTGTTTGCGATGATGTCATACAAGGCTTCAAGGTCCTCCGTGCATGAAAGGTCATTTATCACCAGCTCATTGGACATGACATGGATCCTGATGTGCTCTAGACTCATCGTAGCCAGCCGGACCTAGAGAGTGAAAAACAGGACCTCCTTAAATCAAACCTATTTGACTTTAGTTCAGTGAATCTCAAAATGGTTTGATCAAACTAACTTGTTATCGTTATATCATAAGAAGAGTGATTCTTTGTTCATTTGTTAAAGTCAACAAATAAACATGTCAGTTCCTCTCTCAATGATTCATGACCCAACCAAATGTACAAATTAGCAGAAGGCTAATAGGCTACTTAGCTAGGTTGCCAGTTACAACATCCGGCAGCCATCTTTGTTGTTTGTGACAATTGCAGTTTTTTAGATTGCATCTACAGTATGATTCCCTTATCTTTGAACCTTCCACCAGGGATGCATGGAGAGAGGCAAGGAAAAGATCTCTCTAAGAATTAAGAGCTTTGTGATGGCCTGTAAAATTAGCACATCTGGAACAACTTCAGGTGCAAGGGAGGATTAAGGAGCAAGGAAACATCAATTAAGAAACGTGAGCTGTAAGCAGTGTCTCAAGAGTGCTTAAATATGCCCCGTATATGATTGAGAAGGGAAAGGTTGAGACTGCACTTGATTCAGGAAATCTAATGTGTGAAAAGGATGGGGAGCAGACACACCCTAAACCTATTGAACTGATCTTGTTGACTTGAATTTGTCTTACTGTAAGGATTTCTGTTGCAATCATGAGAACACAGCTAGCTACATGTTAAAGAACTAAATCTCACATCAATCCAGTGTGGAAAAAGTGATCTTACCTTAGACAAGAGAAGGCTGATGTGTCCATCTCGTTCCTCAGGTCTGTGGCCAATCCAGTGAGTAACAGCCTCAAACACAGATCTTTCATTTCTCACATTGAGGTCGTCTCTCTCGAGGAATTCAACCAGCTCCTCTACGGAGAGCTGTAAGAACTCCTCACAGGAAACGATGTCCTCAAAGTGATCAATGATGTAGTGGTACGCTTTGTGCTGCAGTTCCAAGGAGAAGACTATTTTGGTGAACTGCCAGATACCGATGCAGTTTTCTGGGCAGAGCTGCTCTCCAAGGAAGTCACAGCAGGTTTTGACGATGTCCATTACATTGAGCTGATCAGCAGCTAGCAGCAGTTGCTGCACGTTTTCCTCGGTTATAGGAACAGAGCCGGTGTAGGCGAACTCAATGATGAGCTGCATCATGTCAGGAGACAGGCCCGGTATGTTGTAGACTTTTTTGTCAGTGGTTGACCAGCGTTTGAACAGAGCTCTGTGGATCATTTAGAGACAAGGCGGTAAATTGAAAATAAACCTTATACAACTTTTTCTTATTATTTTCACACTATTAAGAATATTTTGGAACTTTCAAAACATACAATGTGACTGAATGAGTTAAAGGGCCTTTCCTAGTGTACCAAGCTTTAAACCACAGAACTGATGAACCAAGTGTATTGTGAGGCTCACATTTTATAGAACTTTATGTACATGAGTTTAAGGAATAGCACATATTTCTTTTTGAAGATATATGAATATATGTTTCATCTTAACTGCAACTTAAAGCCCCAGCTGATTAACAGAGTAGTCTGGAATAGTCAATTCTAAACTGTAAGCCCATCAAATCACTTTAATCATCACTTATCACTTTATCTTGCCATTCATGGCACATAATGTTTTAATTGCCCTGTATAGTTAACGTAACCATTTATATTGTACTTGCATATACCCCCTATTTTTATTCATATTATCTTAACTATTCTGTTTAAACTTTTATTTGACCTTCTACTTGTCTTTGTGCTGCTGCAATGCCCGAATTCCCCCTCTGGGGATAAATAAAGTATTATCCTATCCTATTTAGCAGTTCATAGAGAGAAACATGCTACCATTTTGTATGAAAAGGAATTAAAACTGTCTGAAACAATAATGCATCATTCAAGTCATAACCCAGAGTAAGAATATGATACCAAACACTCATTGGTTTTAAAACTTGATTTATATTTTAGTTTTCGTTCTTCATCTTCCTTTCACTTTCACAACCAAGTAAGGTGGCATGGAAATGAGAGATTGGTGTTAACTTACAATCAAACTTTATGAAAATTATTGTTTTTTATCCTGATTTCAAAACTGAGCATCAAGTCAATGTACAAAATCCCTGAACTTCACTTCATGGGACTATTTAATTTTTTTAACACAACCTTCAACCTTCATCTGAACTGATATCCTATACTGTGTGTTGAAAGAGAGGGAACCCGCTCCATTGGTTGACTTTTAAATGATGAATTATCCTTGAACACATGTTGTAAATATCAGGTGTCCATCAGGTTTGTTTCTTTGCTGAATGAATCAATGTGTCTTATGGTTTGGGCTTTTTCAGACTTACAGTAAATTATGATCTGATCATAACTTTGATTCTATTCATGACGTTATATAAGTTTATCTGCTTTTCTTTAAGGATACAAAATGAATCAGCTGATTCAAACAACAAACTCACCGAAAGTAAGAGCTGTAGTTACAGAGGATAACTTTGTGGATTTGAAACTCGGCATCCTCAACTTTGATGACTGCATCACAAAATTCTCCCTCCAGGCGGAGATCATTAAAGTAGGATGATTTACTTCTGTCACTCATCTTGATGTGTTTTTTTTAAAGATACCTTTCTCTCAGTCTCTCAGTATCCTTGTGTTTTGGTTGCTGGTTTAATCTCAAATGTCTCTGCTTTGTCTTAGATGATAGAATGAGAACACTCAGGCCTTATGACAGAAGTGACAGATTCTAGAATCCAACATTGTGACATCACAATGACAACGGAATAATTTTAATAATAACAGATTTGTTTATGTTGTTGAGAAGTGTTCATTAATTCATACAGTATATTTGTGATTGATTATTTACTCCATTACATTGATATATTATTTGCTGCCCAATGCCATAGGCTCTCGTGTTAAAGGACATTTTTCAAAATAAAAGTAGCAGACAGCATTTTGTAGTAACTACAAAACCTCCATGATATTATCAGCACATTTTTTGACCTTCAAAATTTAAATTGCATTTAACCATTTATGTGGGATCTTCAAAAGACTGAACATTTTGGAGTAGAAGTTAAAGATTACACTTAAATGTACTGGAAGTACATAATGACACACATTTACACAAAGCAAAACACACACAAAAAAGTATTTAGTATTTATATAATTTTCAATTGTAATGTAGAAAAAAGTATATTTGTCCAAAGTATGAAAGGTTCAGTACTTGTAGAGCCTACTTGAAAAAATTAAATTCAAGTACTTAGTCTATAATATGTTTTTCATGTTTGAATCAGTGTATCATAAAGAGAGGCTCAGAATGACCTTATTGCTTTTGGAAATAAAGAGGTATGATGTATTTTTAGTGTTTGTAAAACAGCATGAGACCTTGAGTGTACAGTGATTGGCCACTTGGGGCAGCAGATATTAAGGCTTCAAAAATCAATAGTTGCTGATGTAATACATAAAACTTCCACACGATGGTAGCAGCAGAACAGAGAAACACTCCCGCTGCTGTGTGTCCTCTGCAGTCCTTCTGAAGCTCTCAAAAACAGCTTTATAGCCTCGTAGATACACCCACAAGGCCAAATATCCCAAGATACAGCCTACTAAATATATTTATATAAATAGTGTCCCTTCTTTCAACTGAGTCTTTTAAAAAGATCGTATATTTCTTACAGAGGATCTGCAAACACATCACATAGACTACAGTGACGGAGGATTAAAGCCATCAATCTACCTGTTTGATTACCTTGAAATTAGCTATGCAATATGATTACCCTTTGTAATTACTCAGCAGACAGTAAGAGGGGCTGGACTTTAACCTACATTTAGAGATCCCAATACATGCGCACATAATCTAAAACCTATAGGCTGCGCGTAAAAGATTTTTTTTTTTTCATCTGCAGCTGAATATCCCACAGGAGCTGCGCTGTATAACAAATCTAACTCTAAATACTAAAGGCCTCATCTCGATTCCACATCTGGGATAAATTAAAGCTTCATTTTAGCATTGACACTGTCATCATATTCCCAATAACCCATGGTAAAAAAGTAGCCTCCGCTAACAGATATTGATGATATTTGAACGGCAACTACATCTTCGATCAGAACTTTTTTTTAAGGCGTTTATCGAATAATTACGTCGGGCAACAGGACTTATAGCCTAGTTATATAACAGTCATGATAAATGAGTTCAGAAACATTGAAGCCACTCATTACAGCTATTATAGGCTATCTAAAAATAAAAGTGTTGCTAAATAAAAACGATAATTTCTCTCAATAAAATGGGAACCCGGGAATAAAGCATTTTTATATTGTCTAATATGCTAATTGGACATGTCTAGCCAACAAATACATTTTAATGGGGTTAATTGCCTAGCAAATGTTTTGATTTGTGTCCCATGTCGTCTTGTATGTTATTTGTATTTTCCCTCCTCTACTGTAGACCTAAATCTGATGGGACAATAAACCTCTGTATAGTGTTACTGTGGTCCAAATCACATAATCACGTTTGGGCCTCTTTTAGTTGAAACTTTATGAACGAGCAGAGATTAAAAAAACAAAACAAAAAAAAAAAAAACACAGCGATTCAAAATCAAATGCAACATAACAAGTTTGACATTCTGTTGCGATAAATTGAATAAAATAGTTATTTAAGGGGGGGGGGGGGGGGGATGTATGAAACAAGGAGTTTCTCGAGAAGTGAAGATTTAGATGAAATAAGCAATTACCGTGGAAACTGTGGTTTGGTGCAAGACTCAGTAGTAGAAAATAAAAGCTGGACAGTTTGCTTACAGTTTTTTTTCTTATAATTAGAGAGATTAGGGTAACAAATGAAAATCCTGAAGACTCTGCCAGAGACCGTAAACCTTCGACGAGGTAGGCTGTTGGCTATTTCTCATAAAACTTGTAATCCTAAATCGCATCTTGAACGTTTTGTACAGACTTTATATTTGGTTTGCAGTCGATTCAAATCTTTGTTTTTTTGCTGGTCCAGTAAAGAAAAACGGGATAAAAACGTTCCCTTTACTTAAACGCTGTTTAAAATAATAGAATAATAATGTAGCTCGATGTTATTTAAAACAAAAAGCCTGACAAAAAGCCTGTTGAGTCTCAGCCACTCGTGACGTGATCAGTCAATTCATTTGGTGTCACTTTAGTTTCTATTTGATGTAAGCAGGCTGCATTTATTATTCAATTATTGATTTTTTTGTAGTAAAGTGAAATTGCTCTACTGTTGATTTTTTTTAAAATTCAGACCAGCTTTGAGACAAATTCTAAAAGACTGGGTTAATTATACATAACATATTTCATGAACACAATCCCAATGCTTCTAATATCTTTGTTCTGCTAAGAAATAAAATAAAAACCCACACACAATGGGTTCATAAACCAACAACCTCCAAACACGACGAGGGTTGAACATAAAGTAAACATTGATTTTTAAAAATTATTAACCAGCATGCTTGAATACAAATCTGCAAATGTATCAGAATAATTGATTAATATCTGTCTGTCTGTCTTCTCAGGAATAATCAGTGGCTATACTGGCTCATTCTATCCTCCGTATACTGAGTTATGTTTAGTTCTTCTTCTCAGAGTTCAAAGACAGACCTGCAGACATCATGTTCACTCAGGAGATCCCATTTTGGGAGCAAGTTTTATGACAGTTTTTGTGAAAATGTTTTTTTTTGGTGCTCATGTAAGTTTTAAACTGAAGAATAGCTTCTAGCTGAAGATAAAGAAGATCCAAAACAAACAAAGAAACAAGAAGTAAGGTGCCCTGCTCAGGTTGGTGTGTTGTTTCTACTGTATTTGCTGTATGTTGTATTACATTTGTTTCTTGATTTCTTAAAGACTTTATAGGCCGCAAACTGCATACATCAGGTTCTGGGCTGATTCTCCACACACAGCGTTCATAGGTTTGAGGCAACCCCAATGACATGCTTTCAAAATAATAAATAGTGTTTCTAAGGAACCTTGACAATATACTCCCAAACTTTGGACAAACTTTTCCATCTCAATTGAATTTCCATGTCATTTGACTGTTTTTATTGCCCTCTTTGTTAAGCAGCTTGAGGAGCCAAGTCATCAAATATTAAAAGTAAAAAACATTTTAAGAAAAAATCTAAATATATCTACAAAAACATGCAGGGATACACTCATGAAGTGGAGAATTCACAAGCAAGGACATTGTTGAAAACAGTCACCTTCCCTTTGAGGTCCTGTAGTATCACAAACTTGACAGTTCAATCAATACCTGTGAAAAATGCTCACTTTCCCCTCAACAAGGAAATCAGAGAATAACCCGCTGAGTTCATCTTGACACTAAGATTTAGAATGAGAAGCTATAGAAACTCTGGAGTTTGCAGAGAACTACATTTATTTTAAAAAGAAGAATAAAACATATATTTATTGCATATCAGACAAATAAATGCAGTGAGTACAAAGAGGTCTGCATCAATCAGCTTTAACCCCTGATTATCTCACATTTTGTCAATTTTCCCTTTTCTACTTTCCCACGATAGCAGAGACTGATCTGCAACTGTTTTCAATATGCAAATGATCTCCAACACATCAGACAAAAGGGGTCCAGAAAGATGCAAAGCCTGCTGGTGGTCCTTCTCATCGAACAACAGTTGACTCCATGCAAACCGCAGAGGAGCTGAGAATAAGATGGAACATAAAATATATATTCAATATATGATGTACTTTATTTAAAGTCAATTCTATGTGTTTTTCTTATCTTGTAAGTGAGGCCAAATGGTTTACTCACAGGCTTTATTTTGAATTTTTACAAAGCTTTTTTTTTTTTTTTTAAGAACATGCAAATGTCCATTTCTATAAAGGCATGCATATTGCTGAAACAACTCTGGAAATTCTGCAGCATGCCTGCATCTAACAAGAGTGCCCCCTCTTTCATTTATTATACACCACCATGTCTAATTAAGCAGCTATTCAAATCAGAGCTGCACCATTTGAATATTGGCGCGACGTGGGGGTGAAAGGGTGCCAGGTCTGAGTTCTCCTGCATGCAGGGGCACAAACACACACACTGAATCATTGTGGCGAGGCTAAAGCATTACAGCTCATACATTTACAGTAATTATATTTGTAGTACATATCAGCAGCATCGACATGTTGCTCATGAACATGCATAAGTAGTCAGGCTTTAACCCGCCGCCTGTGCGCACTGCAGCCTGCATGTTGTCTGGCCTGGCAGCAGTAAAACAATGGAGGGATGTGAGGGTGCTTTACTGCTGTCGGAGGCTCTGAGACAAACTGTGACCCAGCAGCCAAAAGACTGTCTGCTTCTCACGGCCTAAGTAACGCGCTATAAAAGTAAGGGGCGCCTATAGGGAGTGTTTTTGCACGCTTTATCTTGACTTTGAACGCACCACATTAAGTGGAATAAATCGATGTTTTATGTTGCTGGAAATACGAGAACATAATAATATTAAACACTTAGGATTTAAATAAAAAAAGCGGAATAATGACGTTAAATATAGGCTATGTAAAGCATACATGACGCTGGCAATAAGTTACAGTCCGTCTAGTATAGGATCATTTGTGTTACTTTACACTGCTTACATCTAGGACTATTGGAGTTTTAAAAGTACAGCGATTTTTTTATTTTTTTTTAAGAAATTTGTATAGGTTTACGATTGTACAGGTACGACTAAAGTAGGTCTACAGGATTTATATAGTCTACGTTTTGGGACATATGAAGTATGGGCAGATTATTTGGGTCAAATCTATGTTTTTATTGGCTTTATAGACCCAAATCCTTTGTATTGTAATACTGCACATACAGAGTGTGTCTTATCTTATTTAAAGTGTGTTCGCAGTTATTTTATTTAGGCTGGTTTTCTCTTCATGAGGTGTACTGATGGTCTGCAGCTTTAGGGACCACTCTTTTGCGTTTGAGGACATTTCTCGAACTTTTTGCTGATATAGGCCTAGATAGTTATCTTTACACCGAGACAGAACCATTATTATAGTCTAGTCTGTAAAATAGACTGTTCTGTATCTTGTTGAACTAAGTTGTGAACAAATATTTTAAAGGCTACCATAATGCTGACATTTTTTAAATTTGAAAGAGGCTTAATCTACACTTTTCATGTTTTAAAGTGATTGTTTTTTTTGGTTTCAGGTCACGAGGCGAAAAGAGTTTGTTTAGAGTTGTGTGGCGCGCGCTCACAGCTCCTCATCAGGGATCTTTTTGGAGGTTGTGTGTGTCGATGATGAACTTGAATTATCGCAGGACAGTAAACATGTCTGTGCTTTTTGTTCAGATGGTGCAGCAAAAGTACTGATATGGATTGCAGTTGTTTCTAATAAAGTTAACATAAGTGACAAAGAGAAAACTTTTTTGACAGGCTGACAGGCTGATGCCAAAACAGGTGAGGCAAGCAGGCATAGCCGTTTATTTCAAAAGATAGTCTTTACTCCATAGCCTACATTTGGTTTTATTCCCCCACTAATTAACAATAGAACACTGATGGAGGATTTGTCGCAGCAGGCTGATGCCTTTAATAATGACGTGTAGGCTGTAAGGTTTTGGCACAGGTTAATAAAAACATGAAAGCTTCACAATGTCTGTTTTGATGTCAAATAGGCCTTGTGTGTGCTTCATTCGTTTTTGATAAGTGGATTTTGGTGGAGAAGGCTTTTCCTAACAGGTGTCAAACAGTCAAAGTAATTTCTCTCAAAGAAGAACGTGTTATTTTCAATGTTACAAAACATTACCTTAACATTCTTTTACTGTTAATAAATCCATCATTAAAACGCTTCCCTTTATAAAGAATGTCTAAAGTTATAATTACATAGGCCTATTTGTAATTTGAAGTAGGCTACATTTTTCAGTGTGTGTGTGTGTGTGTGTGTGTGTGTGTGTGTGTGTGTGTGTGTGTGTGTGTGTGTGTGTGTGTGTGTGCAGCAGAGATGTAGCTCTGCGGCCTGCGCATGTGAAGGCATCTCCACTCTGTGAAGACACACATCAACATGGCTGAGTTCACTTTATTTCATGCAAATGACAGAGCCCGTCTAGTCTGTGCATATACATACAAGACAGACATGGACATGAGATCCCACACAATAAGGTTCCAGAGGATTCTTCTCTCATTTTATTCTAAAGATTTCTGCTGCGATTATCATGATAATCAGCTGAGCTCAGAGCACCTCTCGTGTCTGTCTTTTTAAAGTTTTTATCTGAGACAACAACTTCTTTGAGATTCCGTCAATTCTGGGTGAGACGCCAAATACAAAAGGCGAGACTATTCCTATTAAACCTGAAGATGATGGTAACTTTTCTCAGTGATAGTATTCACTATGTATGTGAATTAATCCACGTAGCCTATTATCTCACAATAAATATTAAAAGACACTATCAGGATGTAACATCATTAGGCCTAGAAATAGAATTTATTGGAACAGTTTAATGATGCTGACGTTTAGGCACTTAAACAAAATAGAGGATACACATCTAACGTTCTATATTATAGGCACTACGTCTTGGTGTGCTTAAGACATTTTTACTATAGTCTAAAAATCATATAGTAGTGCACACTGAACACACACTTTGTCTGAAAGCCCCCACCAGAACTCAGAGATCTGTTTGCAGCATGACTGAATGATGGATCCACCGTGCACTTCTGCATGCGTCTGTTGGGGGGCGTGAGAGCTGCTGCCATAGGTCCTTATTACAATCACAGCGGCCGTCTTGCATAATATGAAAAATCTCAGAGGGTGGGAACAGTTTTTACCTCACTGACTCACGAGGGGGCGGGACTTGGACGGCGTATATGATTTTGGACAAATGAGACGTAAACGCATTTGGAGAGACAGCGGTGGGGAAGATGTAGCTCCTCCAACATCTCCCCCTGCGTGGTGAGGCGGAGGATGGGGGGGCTGAGGGTGTAGATCCAAAAGGAAGAAGAAAAAAAAAATCACAAGAGGACCCGTTAGATTCAAGAAAAAAATGGACGGTGTCGGCGGAACGTCACGATGCGCCGTCGCCACAATAAAGCCCAATACGTCGCTCGTGAACGCGCGCACTTGGCTCCCAGCATGCCGCACGTCCGGAGGGAGCAGGGCTTACCAGGAACTCATCCAAATCCGGTGCAACCCACCGTGCTGCATCTGAGAAGGACACAGTAAGAACCCTTTAATTTATTTCTGGTGATTTCTTGCATTTTGAGTCTTGAGTCCGTGCAAAACGGAACAGAGAGGCGCCAAATAGGGCAAAAAATCGGTACGTTTTAGGCTGTAGCACATTGTACTCTGTATTTATCTTCCAATATAACATAATCTCAAACACTAAATGTGTGATTCCTCTGCTCTAAAACCAGTTTAAGGTGTGCTTGTATCGTACACATCACATTGTGAGATAAAGGCTGAACATCATCAGATGGCAGCATCAGCACCTCAGACGTGTACTTTCACTTGTGGCTGCTTGGATCCACTTTTGTTTGGTACAGGATAAAAAAAAATCCAAAATGAGTTAAGTGAAATCTGAATGTGATAGTATGAAGTCAATTAACCTACTTAACACCGAGTTTATGGTCTTTCCCTTTGACAACAGTCTCCCACAAGGCATTTCATTAGTTTCAGGCACCTTTATTGGCATTTAAGTCAGAGGCAAATGAGGATTTATATGTATCCCTACTCTTATCCTTCTGCATTTTAACCTACATTTAGAATACAATATGATTCACAGAAAATGCCCAGCAAACAACATGGTCTTTCTTTTAAACAAGGCGAATTCTTTGCAGCCAACAAAGCAATTTTTTTTTGTTCCATTAATGCTGAACCTGGTCAGCCTTATATTCTTTGTCGTTTGTTATCCTGTTGTATAATGTTGCTCAATTCCAAAGCAGTTAAGTCCATAAAGTGGAGGCAATGGTAAACCCTTTGGCTGTAAGGCTCCTCATCTATAATTACTGGGTTCCAGTGGGTCCATTAAACGCCTCAGGCCGCTGTGTTGGTGGTGTCACTGTGGCCTCGGGCGGTGCAACCTGCCGCAGCCCGCGGTTGTGTTTGGCATGTTTGCTGTCAACAGATTACGAGCTGGAGAGGCTAAACAGTAGGGAAAAGCATGAAAAAAAAACAGAAAGGGTGATTATTGTTCGCCTACATAGAAGCCAGCAGCGTGGCTTCCTGCAGCCTGGGATTATACAGCACGGTGCCAGCACGGAGAGCTCTTACATAAGGCCTTGTTAATCTGTGTTGAAAGCAGGATTTTCCTCTCACGCATGTTTGATTTGGTGTAATTATTATTTCACTTATAATAATCTATTACTTCTGCGTCAGGTGGTCACGCCCTAGAAACGTTTTTTTTGTGCAATTCTGGACTTTTCTGTATTTAACTGATTAATGAGGGGGGTGGGGGGTGGCGGCATTGAAACACAAAGTGTACACGTGCAGGGGACTATTTCCTTCAACATAGAGAGGCCCTTTTACTGCACAACTAGCCAGGCCAGATTATGCAAAATCACAACTATTCCTCCCGAAAGAGGTCATGAGTCAGGTCTGTATCATGTGCAGTTAACATGACTCTGCACTTAGAGTGAACAGGTGCATCCAGGTAGAAAAATAAGAGGGGGGGGGGGGGGGGGGGGTGGTATGTCGAGTTTAAAGACAGCAGCATCCTAAGAGCCTCTCTCT